TTATGACTTTATATTCATTACTATAGTATGTCGTTTTTATTACTTTTTATGCCTTACTATATTATGTCGTTTTTATGACTTTTTATGCCTGACTATATTATGTCGTTTTATGCCTTACTATACTATGTCGTTTTTATGACTTTTTATGCCTTACTATACTATGACGTTTTTATGACTTTTTATGCCTGACTATGCTATGAAGTTTTTATGACTTTTTATGCATTCCTATACTATGACTTTTAATGCCTTATTATACTATGACTTTTCTATGACTTTTTATACCTTACTATACTATACTATAGTGAGGCATAAAAAGTTATAGTATAGTAAGGCTTAAAATGTCATAAAAACTACATAGTATAGTAAAGCATAAAAAGTCATAAAAACGACAGAGTATAGTAAGGCATAAAAAGTCATAGTATAGTAAGGCATAAAAAGTCATATTACAGTAAGGCATAAAAAGTCATCAAAATGACATAGTATAGTAAGGCATAAAATGTCAAAAAAACATCATAGTAAAATAAGGCCTAAAATGTCAAAAAACTCCATAGTATAGTAAGTCATAAAAACGTCATAGTATAATAAGGCATAAAAAGTCATAAAAATGTCATAGTATAGTAAGGCAAAAAATGTCAAAAAAACATCATAGTAAAATAAGGCATAAAATGTCAAAAAACGACATAGTATAGTAAGTCATAAAAACGTTATAGTATACTAAGGAAAAAAATGTCAAAAAAACGACATAGTATAGTAAGGCAAAAAATGTCAAAAAAACATCATAGTAAAATAAGGCCTAAAATGCATAAAAACGACATAGTATAGTAAGTCATAAAAACGTCACAGTTTAATAAGGTATAAAAATGTCATAAAAACGTCATAGTAAAGTGAGGCATAAAATGTCATAAAAACATCATAGTATAGTAAGGCATAAAAATGTCATAAAAACATCATAGTATAGTAAGGCATAAACACGTCACAGTATAATACGGCATAAAAACGTCAAAAGACGTCATAGTACACCATAGTACAGTAAGGTATAAAAATGTCATAAAAACGTCATAGCATAATAAAGCATAAAAACATCACACTATACTAAGACATAAAAACGTCAAAAGATGTCATAGTATAGTAAGGCATAAAAATGTCATAAAAACGTTATAGTATAGTAAGGTATAAAAACGGCATAGTATAATAAGGCATCAAATGTCATAAAAACATAGCATGAATAAGGCATAAAATGTCTAAAAAGGTCATAGTATAGTAAGACATATGTGCATGTCTTTGGAATGCAGGAGAATATACAATCTAAACAAAGAAAGGGCACCATGCCTGGGATTCAAACCAACAACCTTCTAACTGAGAGGCAGCAGCTCTAACCATCATACCATTGTTCCACCTCATCACAAAGTAATAGACTTATGATATATTGTGCCTACATCAATAGTAACATTACCATATATGTCATCTATAAGAGGACATATCAGTATGACACATCCTCTGGATATATCACGATAAGTTTATAACATATACAGAATACTCATAGTAAAACTTTGGTAAATCAACATGCTTATTAAAATTCAATGTTTGTATATGATTTTCAAAATAATTTCTCATTAAATTTCACCATACATGTCTATATTTTCTATTTACAAATATACTAAACATATACTGACAGGCTGGGATGGATATATATTTATGTAACATATATCTATAGTATAAACCTATAATATAAACAGACATATTAAAATACATGTAACTAGTAGCTTGAAGTAAAGACAAAATTTAGCAGTGCTTTCTCTTGTATTACTCATCTTGTATTATCTCAATCTTTTAACTACGTTTTCAGCTGCTTGTCCAAGCAGAACAATGTAATTAACTCTTCTAAACATGAAAAACTTTTCCCCAAACTTTCTTCCAAAGCCACACAACAGCGCCATGTGATGCAGTGGTCTCTGGAGAACAGCAAGAATATTCTGGAAAGTTTGGAGGGGCAATCAGAAGAGTCCTCAGGGAGTTTTCTCTGGATAGTTTCAGTGCTGAGGAGCTGACAAAATCATGTTGCGAGTAAACATTCAAACAAACAGTAAAAAACAAAGTAAAAAAAATTCTGCTGCCACAAAAATCAGCATGGCTCTTTCATCTGTGGCTTTGGCAAAATCATTCATGTTCACATATATTGACTAGAATACCACTCAGCCTGCAGCAAATGATTATTTTCAATGAATAGTTTTGACTGTAAAATTTCAGAAAATAGTTAAAAAGCCTATCACAACTTCCCAGAGCTGAAAGTGACATATTGTTTACAGCTCGTTTCTGTCCAACTAACAGTCAAAAACCCACAAATGAGTTTAATCATAAAAGTCAAAGAAAGAAGCAAATTCTCACATTTGAGGAGATAAACTAGCAAATGTTCAATACTTTTGCTTTGAAAATGACTCAAAAATAGTAGCTGATTAATGTTGATCGACTAATTGAGACTACTACAGAGATACAAATATAGATCCAACTCAATTTAAGTACAGTATTATATATATCTATATAATATCTTTGTTCAAAGCTCAGAAAAGAGAAATAACATTGATGCATGCCACATTTATAAAGGATAATGAGCTCTTAATATGGAAGGACATGATATGGGAGGAAGGAAATCTGGTGCCCTACTTCCTCTTTCAGCCACAAGAGGGCAGTGTGAGATCAGGCATGAGAAGCACAATCAATGAGACATCAGTGTCTGTAGATTTATGATTTACTTTATGGTAGAGGAACAAATCCCTGCAGTAATAGGGCCTGTTGTCACTGTGTTATAGGTCCATTAAGACATCTGCACCCTCTGCCACAGCTTAAACAAATCTATATTATATTTACATCGACCCATGGAAAGTTTAAGTACACAGCTGCACAAACACACTGACATACCCATGAGCATGTAACAACACAATGTAAGCACACATAATTATGTCTGGATCGACACTGTGTCATTACATATTTGTATGGACACATAATGTCATGTGCTTGTAGTAATTTTCCACAGGCTGATGCTCTGGACAACAGTGGCACACAGTGTTACCCAGGGATACCATGCTATGCTAATATGCTAATTAACCATGTTTACGCCTCAGTGTGAAAGGGACCCATTACTGATCTTTTTGCTCACATGTGGCACTAACAAGATATAATATGGGTATTTTCTTGGGCTGCTTCTAATGATTATTAGCTCCAACAGTAAGGTCATGTTTTCACCCATGTTTGTTAAATTGTCAGTAGGATTACACAAAAAGCACTGAACCGATTTGCACTGAACTTGGTGGAGGGGCGGATCATTGGCCTGGGAAGAGCCCATTAAATTTAGGGGGCTCATCCGGATCATTTACTATGAATTTGAATTTTTTCTCTGAAGTGTGGTGTATGTTGTTTGTAACTGGACTTCGGGAAGTTCTGTGCTTTCTGAGTGCCCTTCTAGCTTTCACTATCGACTAATCCGCAAACCTTTTCCTTGATACATTAATTTATTGTTTCTTAAATCAAATATTTAAAAACAGCAGCATGTGCCCGTTATAATATAGCTGATGTCTTCAAAATGTTTTGTTATATCAGACCAACGGTCTGAAACTCAAACATATTAAACATATTAACCTTACAATCATGTATGATGAAAAGAAACATCAAATTCTCCCATTTGAGAAGCTGCAACCAGCAAATGTTTGGTATTTTTGCTTGAAATATGACTCATGATAAATTGGAAGACATTTGTTCAAAGCATAATAATACAATAGTAGGAATCTGATGAAGCATTTAATGCCAGCCTTTGATACATTTAGTTTTCACTTTGGTGGAAAGTAACTAATTACATGTACTTAAGTGAGGTAGTTGTATTTAACTTGAGTGTTTCTATTTAATATTACTTTGTATTTCTACTATATTTCAGAGGTAAATACTTCACTACATTGAACTGAAAGTTATGGTTATTACCAAGTTTTCAGATTAAGATTTTACAAACAAAACCTGATCAGTTCATAAAATATGATGCATTGTTAAAGATTAAACTACCTCTTCTCCTCCTCAACCAGCAGCGACATGTAAATGCCACTTACTTATATTAATGCGTTCAATTCTTAATGTACAATTACACGCTAAAAGGAGTCATTCTGAGTATTTCTACTTTTGATATGTTAAAACTTCTATTGCAGGACTTGTACTTGTACTGGAGTAATTTTCATTTTGAGAAAACGTTTTTATGCCAAGAGTTAAATGAGAACATGGTTAAGTTAGTATTACATAAAGTAGTGAAATTAGTGTTACTAGTGAATTTAAGTTGTATTGATTATTGTATATTTGAACTTTGAACAGAGCCAGACCAGCTGTTTCCCAGCTGTTTACCAAGTTGTGAGTCTCCTGAGCACAGCTTCATATTTAGCTTTCAGGCACTAGAGTCATATTGATCTTCTCCTCCAACTCTCGGCAATAAAGCAAATAAATATCTCCCTAAATGTCAAATGATGATGTCCTTTCAGTAAAAGACCACCATTGTTGGTCAGTACAGTAATACAATACTGATTCATTGCACCTTGTGTTTGCGTCATGGTTTGTCTGTGTGGGCTGCACGGACACACTGATTTTTATATGTGTGGTTTGTTTTAAGCCGCTGTGGCGTGATCACATTAATCAGATATGGGTCACTTTTAAAAGTAGGTATAAACAGGAGGTGAAAAATATCTGGGGAAAAAAAAACCTCAACTAATGATCAAAGGCCTTTTATGTAACCAGGTGTGAAATCAACAGGTAAACACCATCTACATGTTCTTCACGCTCTAAAAAATCTACAAGGACTAAAGAAAATACTCCTGGATGGTTTGTCCTCACCTGCACCAGCACCTTCACTCAGCTAGTCAGGCAGGACATGTGACACTTTTCACAGAGGTCACAGGGGAAGGTCAAGGGCTGCAGGCACTTATACTGGGGGGGTGGGGGGGTGTCGGGGGGGTGAACCCTTCACATCCTCATTAGCTGCTGCTGCTTTGAGCCAGCTCTTGGCAATCGGGACAGGTGTAAATCATCTCATGTGCATTTTGGCTCATCCAGACTGCCGTCCCATTGGCGTCAGACTCTTGGGCCTTAAGAGAGCGATGCACCTTGGCACAGTAGCTGCTGCTCTCACGTGGGGGTTGGCATGAAGGAAGCAAAAAAAAAGCAAAAAAAAAAGAAATAAAAAAAAGACAAACACAAAAACTGTGACGTGAGGGAGGGGATGCTGGACTCAAGGCAGGTTGAGGAAAATAAGGACGGATTGATTTCATGAATGAGGATGACGATAAATAGGGGGAGATTAAACTGGTCAACTCACCAAGCTAGGTATATCATAGACACTATGAATATGAGGAGCACAAAGGCTCCGGCTGCTACACCATACACCCACATCTTCAGCTTCCCATCTGTGGAGGAGGAGGCTTGTCAGTTTGTCTGTCTGTTTTCAACATGGCACCAGCAGCCATTAGAAAGTGAAACAATTCATCCTGTGAAAGCTTCACAAAACATCAACACATTGCTGCAATTGCTACTTTTTCTATCACGGTTACACTTTATAATAATACAGCCCACTTAAGCCCACCCCATTTAAAGTGTAATTTCCTTGTATGAATCAATTACCAATGAAATATGGGTCAGATATATGTACAGAACATGGGGAACACAGCAGTAATATCTGGCCATAAAGGAGAAATACATTATACCAGGAGGTGTCTGATATTTGTTTTTTGTAAATAATTGTATCATTATTATTATTATTATTATTATCATTGTTGTACAGTAAATACTTTGGTTCTGGCTACTATAAAAGCTGACCAGAGTTCTCCTCTTTAACAATTACAGTTGTATGCAAAAGTTTAAATGAAGCAAATTGTGACATATTAAAAAGTTTGAGCACAGTGTCGATTGACAGTAAAACATTACACCATAATTATTTATCCCAGACTTCAGTTTTGTTTCCTAGACCCAGTATTTACAAAAATACATAAAGGACGAGGGATTTGTCCTTTCCTCTAAAAGGCCAAATTGTTACTTTTATTCCCCACAGTCTTGTTTTCTTCCACTGTACGATCATCAGTATCTTATTGGCACCTGATTTATACAATGAAATGACACTGTAAATCACGGGCTGTGACATAAGCCTTTGTTTTCTTTCTTTCTTTCTCAAAAAGCAAAAACACATTTTAAATCTTACTGTAATTTACTCTACAATAACAGAGAGTGTGCTGCAAAAAAAAAGAAAAGAAAAGAAAAGAAAAAGCAAACATTTGGAAGATAAACGATACAAGGGTTGGTGTATGTGTTGGTGTTTGCTCCTGACAGACGTTAACTCAATCTGTTCTGCACTCTTGCATCCTAAATGTTTATTTTTCTGTCATGCACCATCAGTCATGACGCTCTGTGCAGACGCAGCTCTCAGATGTTAATGTACCAGCAGCTCAGAGGCGGCGGCGACGTCCATACATGCCTCTGAGAAGCCCTGCATTTGAGAGAACACTTCTGATGCATTGTCAGTCAGTTGTATTGCATGCACAGTTGTGAGTATGAATGTGTTAAACCTAATGTTAATTAAACCCCATCAACACTAAATCTGCCCGACGTGAACTGAAAGTAAAGCATGTTCTGCTGTTGACATGTGAAAACCTCTCAGCTTTATGTCTTAACTTCACTTCAAGGATTACATGCTGCTCTGCAGGTTGAGAAAATTCTACTAACTCTCTGGGCTTACTAAAACCTTTTCACTTTAGATAAACTTCAAAAGACATAGTGGGCACTCGAATAATATGGAGGCTGTTTCTCTTATCCACAAGTGCAAGTGGAAATATATTAAGTACAAATTCCTGTCTTAAAACTTTCAAATAAACATGAAGTTGCAGCTTTGGAAAGGATGTGTGATGTTTTACTGACCTTTGCACTTTTACCTTGATAGTAATTTCATTTTTGTTATCAATAAAGACCTATTTACAGTCATCACTGGCTGCTTGTGTTTTATTTCTACTTTTTGTTGTAATATAAACCAGCCATGTCTGTATTACATGTGGTGGTTTTTATAAGTACGACTTGACAAGTGGAAACTAGGAGCTTCTGCAGAGAACATTAAGGCGGGGTTAGTTCCCTAAAACATGACAGTTTAATAGATTAAAGGTTTTCACTTGACAGCAACAAAACACTTCTTCAACAATTCTTTACAACTGGATGTGTGGGATCCATTTTTTAATATTTTTAATTCATGTGAAAAGAAGCTAGATTTTGGTAATCCAGTGGGATGTGGTCTGACCTGGTCCGTAGGGCTGCAGGTACCAGGTCCGTCCGCTGCGTCCGGGCTGGATGGTGCTGGGCTGGGTGGGGTTAATGGCACGACTGGTCTTCACATCGCCCTTCTTGTCCCCCGCCGTGGGGATCTCCAGGACTGGGATGGGGGCGCACTGGTCCAGCTGCCCAGTGGGCGACAGCACCTCTGTGAAGCCGTCCTCGCACATGCAAATACCAGCCTGCAGGGGGCAGCGCACAATCATGATTGGTTTGAGCTGCAGCTACAAGTACAGTACAAGAAAGTGATGAGCAGTGTCGGAGTGGAAGTGAAATAATCTGGGGGGGGAGGGGTGTTTGGAAGAGGCTCTGGTATGGTAGGGTGACCGGCCCGTTACTGTTTGGTCACATGTTCAACCCCCTGTATGTCCACAGCAGCAGTGTGTACTGTTGACACGTCTCTGTCTCATTCACTCAATCTAGATAAAAGCCTCAGCTTCCACAAAAACCAGAAGCATTTCAGAGCATGTTTGTGACCTGTTGGCCTCATTCCCGTATATTGTATTTTCTACTAATACGTGTTTCCAGTTCAGCTGGAAAACTACACAGCATTAACCTGTACTACTTTTTTTTCTCCATCCTTTATCATTCACGATAGCTTGGCTGACCATGAATGCTCTTTTAACGTCTTGGACACGAAGTTACACAAGGGCTGCTCCCAAACTTCACCCTGCTGAAACTAATGCAGACGTGGTGATTCAACTCGCTGTGGAGGATGTAGTTCATGATGCTGCTGAACTGCAGTGTACAGAGACGTGTTTCTGTTCTGTAGCCTACAGTCAATGATATAAATTGAGTGGATGAAAAATTAGGAACACCATTCGTTTTAGCTAGCTGAACCTAATAAACTGGCATCAGAGCATAGATTTCTCTCTCCGGTCAACCAGTGACCTCAGAGGTCACTTCTCATCAGATCATTGTGACCTGGTTATCCTGTGGTTATGAAGTCTGACAGCACCACCACACAACAGCTGATAACCAGCCTTTACTGCTAAATCTAATTTTGGTTTTTATTTAAATATACAAGCCACTAAAATGGATCAACTTTGAGATTTACCAGCTGCTGCATGTGCTGGACGAAAACGGATTCTCCTCATTCTCATGCAGCACAGCTGAGTGACACTATGGAGAAATAGGTTTTACATCTCCATGCTGCCATCATTTCATTCTGTGCTGTATTCAGATTCAATTCTGGCAGCAGTGTGTCACAGTGAGTACAGAGGCTGCCATTCATCCAGAGGACCTGTGCTTCCAGGTTTATGTCTTCTTATTGTTTTTTTTTTTTTAATACTGTTTATTGGGTTTTCATTGTATATTTTTGTCACCAAACCAAATTTTTCTTCACAGTATTTTGTTTTTGTTGCTTTTTATTTTGTTGTCGGTTAAATTGGTGATATGAGAACAAAGGGGAAGCTTACCTCGCTGCAGAAAGACTTTGGCATGAGACAGGGAGGGTCACAGGAGCTGTTGTCCACTGGAGGGTTCATGGCAGGACAACCTCCTGCGGGTAAAAAGACAATCAAAGTAAATAGGTTACATGTTTTTAAAAGGAAAACAATGAACATCAACGTCATCTGTGTGTCCTGGTGGATCCACTGCTCTCTGCTGCTGACATTTTCATATTTAAAAGTTACAACTTTTATTACACAACCTGTACGGTCATCCATATGAGCATTAAAAAAAACAAACTGTAGCTACACCTCGATACAGCTGATGTAGCCAGGTTTATTTCTGAAACTATTTCAGGTGAGTGGGCACGTGATCGTGTTTTATGCGGCGACCAACAGTTGTATGGGCTGCCATCGCCCACCACCTCACCTTCTTATAGAAATAAGTCCCTAGTTTTTCAGAACAGTGTGTTATATTTCTGACATATTTTGTGTAAATTTTACCTCCTACATGAAACTGCCACCAGAGCTTCAGACTTACTGCTGAGCTATAGAGTCGCACAGTCTCTCACTTTAAAGATAAATAAAGCAGCACTGTGTATTATCACTATGTCAGAACTGTAGGATGGTGTTTCCCAGATATTTTAGTGTGTGACACCTCATCACCAGTTATATGTTGTGACCAGTTCAGTGATTTTATTCTGTTTATCAGTTTTTTGTTAGAGCTGAAACTATTAGTCCATAAATAAATAGGTCGATTGGCAGAAAATGAAACCACAATTTTCAATGATCGATTAATCATTTAAATCATTAAAGAAAAGCCTTGAAAACGTGACTATTCATTCTATTCACTATTCATAGTCTTCTATAGTATTACTGAATATCTTATGTTCTGTTTTGATGCTCAGACAACACAAGCAATCTCAATACATCAACTTGGCCTTCGGGAAGTTGGGGTGATCATTTTTACTGTCATTGACCAAAGCAATAAATCATTTAAAAAAGGAAATAACAAGCAGAATAAACGATAATGAAAATAAAGGTGAAGTCATCCAGTTATTTACAAGAAAAAAACATTGCAGAAAAGTCTGTTTACACATTGGGTGGGTGACAGAAAGTCGGAGGAATTTGCCGACCTCTGATGCAGAAAAAAAATGTTTTATGGACTTAACAAGTAAGTCAGCCAAAAGCCAAGTCTTCCAGAAATCTGTAAACATGCTACTGTGTAATCCAAGCTCCACTGTAAGACTAATAGTTCCTTACCGGTGACATTGAGTCCATCTGAGCGCTGACACCACATAAAAGGGCGGGTGGAGTTCGGACGAGCGCTGCTGAACCATTTGTACTCGTAACATTCGCCCCCTGAAAGCAAAATAAAAAAACACTCAACAACCATAAAGACTGTAGAGTGGGAGTCTTCAGAGGAGACATTAATCAGACGAATGACGGATTAATAAAGCAGCTGCTAAGTTATGGTTGTATAATAGGCTGGTGTCATATAATGTCACTATCAGTGTGTCTTCACACAGAAGGGTCCAGTTCAATGTTTTAATCTTCAGTAAGAGCTTTTGCTTAATGACTTTCTATCAATGCTATTATGACTTTATCAATATCTCCATCAGTGCAGTAAATGACCGTATTTCCCTGCGGAGTCCTGTGTAACCAATCATCAGCCCTGCCCATTCGGTTAGCATAAATGAACAATTTAACCTTGAACAAAGGAAAGATCTATTCTCCACAGGCCTGGGTACAGTATCTCCAGTCGATGGCACAGCTCTATCTGCAGCTTTCACGGGACGATTTGTCTGCGGCTGAGGCGACTTCTCCCTTTATGTTCTTCACTTTTTCTCATTTCTTCCCTTTCTCTTGCCGTGGTGCAGCTGAGGTCGTTTTTCAGATGTGTTAAGTTATGATTGAATCACTCACTTCAGCTGGGACTCTCCTCCATCCTTTACAAGCAGAGTGGGCTTTTACTGCTATAGATATATTTATCAGAAGAAGAGCTGCTCTGGAAGAAGAAATAATGTCAGACGTTGTGTTAACCCAAAAAAAAGAAAAAACAAATAACAGGTTTTTGAAACGTGACTGAAAGTCTCTGTGAGGGTAAACAAGGGAAAAACTGATGTTCTAGCCTGTTATATAAAAAAATGCCATTATAACCATCTTGTGTAGCACTTTTATACCAAAAGGGTTTACTGTGTGCCTGTCACATACACTAACATGGCAATGGTGGTAGAGCAAGGCCGAGACATCAGGGAGGGTTCAGTGCTCAAAGACACTTGGACTGGATGAGTCAGGGATCAAATCAAATGACCCATTCTACCATTAGCAAGCTAGTTAGCTAGTTAGCTAACCGGCTGAGCTCCAAACACATTGAATCCATGGTTACGAGTGACTGTAAAAAGTCTCTGCCATTCATACCTTAGTGTACAGTTTTAGCTTTTAGCCACGTGAGCGTCGTGTGTTGACAATACTGTATTTTGATGGTTGGTTTTAAAGGAATTGATTTTGCATTCCAAAGAAATGATGATCACACTGCAGCATTTAAACCTGCAGCATTATCATGTTTTAGTTGTGTCTCTGGCCACCTGATGAATGAATGTTTCTCCAATATTCACTCTTCTTTTAGCTCTGCTTTGGTCTCAAAAAAATATTGATTAGTGCAGTTTTAAACTGCTGCCAGTTTCAGATGTGAAAACCTCAAAAACAGCACGAAGGGTGTTTCATCAAGGATTTACTTTTATGTCCCTGAAGCTGTTTGGAAACCATCTATGATTTTTGCATTTCTTCCAGCTGTGAGCAGCTCCTTTGTTGCTTTTTTTGGGTTGCATTGAAGTGAAATGGTGCAGACCAAAAATCTAGTAATTTTAGTGCGTGTTGTCATTTTTAATTGTTGCATTGTGAATGTAGTGTAGAAACAAAGCATGGTAAGAATTGGTATACAGTAAAGTGTGCAACTGGGACACAGCTGTGGTTTTGTTTTTCTCAAGCGAGCCTCACATCAAACCGCTCCCTCCCTCTCCATCCCCAGCCTCCCTTTCTCCGTCACCGCCCTCCCTCTTCCCCTGCCTCCACTCTCTCGTCCTCCTCCGCCTTCACTGGTCTTGGCTGGGCCACTCCTCCCCCTTGTGCCTTGAGTGATGCTGTGAAACCAGGTCAGGCTGGTGAACACTGCTCTGGGGCTGTGTGTAGTAGCCAGGCAGGGAGGAGAGGAAGAGTGGGAGGCGAGGGAGGAAGGAGGGGATGGGAGGGGGTGGCCGCTCCGCAGACTGAGCCTATGGCTACTGTAGATGTTGAGCTTTGGTGGTGGTGATTCACAACCCACACTGAACCTAATGGGTGATTAACACGCCTGGGGAGCTGCAGAGATCACAACAGTAAATGAGCATGTGGGTTTCCTCCGTTTGGAGACCTGACTTGAGAAATCCCATCTGGGAGAACGCCAATTGACCCAGTGTAAACAGGGAAAAACAAAGTGATTGTAGCAGTGTAGCGCTTTAGTTCCTCTGGATACCAAGGTGGCTCAGTGGTTTGTACTTTCACCTCGCAGCAAGAAAAATCTTCATTTGATTCCTGTCGCCAATCCCTTCTCTACAACCTCAACACGTTTTCTCTCTCTGTGGGTTTCTTCTGGTGCTCCAGTTTTCTCTGACAGTCTAAACGTGCAGGTTCAGATGGATAGAAGACTAAATAGCCTGCAGGTATGACCCTGAATCTAAGTGTCTTTTTGTGTTAGCCCTCTGATGCACTGACAAGCAGTCCATCGCGTTTCCCTGCCTTGCACCCAGTAATGTCCGACACTGACTCCAGCTCTCCGTGAGCATGCATATTAGGAGTACTTGTTATAAGGAAGGCTTTGTTTGGGTCTGTCGGCTGATTTGCATTCAATAAAACTTCACTCTTCAAAGGGAGTTTGCTTCGGGTAATTTTTTCAAAACTTCTGGCAGTGAGAGGATGAAGCTGTCACTCACCTGTGCAGGGCTGAGACTCCCACGCCTGGTCCGGACAGAGCTGCAGGTTTTCAGGCTCCTGGGCCAACACAGCTCGCGAGCGAACCTGAACCGAGCCAAAGTCCACGCCTGCCCCTTTGACGCAGATGCTCACACATGAGCTCCAGTCTGACCACTCCATCAGGTAACATTCACCTGCAGCAGAGAAGAGACGCATCACATGACAGGGACGGTTAACGTGAGGGTTTTGGGTGGGGAAGGATTTTACTGATTAAGTGTGGCTATGAAAACTTTTCAGCTGAATAAATACAGTTCTATATCACAGTGACATTACTCATTATACATGTCACAGAAGGGTAAAATAACTTTTTCTTTAAATTTAAAATCAATTAGTCAATCAACAGAAACTAGGCTCAAAAATATTTTGATAATTGAATAATTGTTTCATATTTTTAAAGCAAAAATAGTTACAAATTTCTACACCATTCATTTCTAAACATCCTGACTCCAGTTTCTCCTGTGTGAGGATTTACAGCTTTTCTCTGCTTTAAATAAAGTTTCAGACTTCACCTTGGACATTCACAAAATTTATTATTATCATTTTATTATTAATCAAAAAATAATTTGGCAAAATAATGGATAATGGAAATAATTGTTAGTTGCAGTTCTATTTAACAGCACTCCCAAGAAGTTAAGTTATTCTGTAAACAAACCATTTTAATTTACAAAACAATAAAAACTGATTTAATTCTGAGTGATAAAAAAAAATCCATTATAAATCAGTGAATAAATAAATAAAATGATGCAAATGTAGAACAAACTTTGCTAAGTGACAAAGATTTCACTTAATATCGCCAAAAAGGCAAAAATATGTAATTTTAAATAAATGAGAATTAACAATCGATTACTGTAACACATGTAAACATGAACTGCAGCAGCAGCAAAGGTCCAAGGGTCCGAGTCTGAAACCTGAACGTCCAACCACATCTCAGCTCTCTCACTGGTGCACGCTCACTATGGAAGTTTTGAAACACCTGACCAATGACCTGAAAAAAAAATTGCGAGGTCTGGCTTCGAGCCGTATCACAAATCTTTTAATTTCCTGTAAGTCAGTGTGCAGCCTCAGATCCTCAGGCTGGGTGGCCCTTCTGGCTCCGGAGTTCAAGACTAAAAGGTGACCAGGTTTTTGCCATCAGGGGCGCTGGCGGACGGGATCGGGATTATCTCAGTTCCCATCTACTAGATAAGATGTCTTTTATTTCTTTTTCAGTATTACTGTTCATTTTTAGCCTCCATCTCTTGTGCTACCCTCTTGTTTTCACTCATTTCCACTGCTTTTATTTGACTGTTAAATAAGTGTTTATACTATTCAGGGAAATATCTATGTTGCAGTGTGGGTGTCCTTGGTGGAAATCAGATATTCAAGTCTGATAGTATTAATGCAATGCTTTACCTATTTACCTATTTATCTGTGGATGAGAACAGCTGAATGTGGGTGAGATGTTACGCTAGGCAGCAGAGTTGCATACAGAATATGTATTTACTATTTACATATCACATCATATGATGCTTCAGATGCTTTGAAGAGTTTCAGGAGGAGGAAGGTGTAAGTTCGAGATGCAGGGTGGGTTGGTTTTGATCACAGCTGACAACTGCAGCTCATCAAACAGCAGGGGAAATAGAACACAGGTCAAGGGTGGCAGTGCATGAAAGTGTATGTGTGTGTGTGTGTGTGTGTGTGTGTGTGTGTGCATGCGTGCGTGCGTGCGTGTGTGTATGTATGTATGTGTGGATGCAACCTGCCAGAATTCCCAAGCTGTCCCCGGCCCTGCACAAACAGCCCTTGAATTTCCTCCCAAATCACACTACACTACCTCCCTGCACAGAAAACAGTCTGTGCTTTTGATTGCTGTTTGATACTTCAGTGCTCCTGCAGTTTGGCAAAAGGGGTTGGACTGACTTGTTATCTAGGGCAGCGTTTCTCAGTGTTTTCCATCTCAGGGACCAGCAGACATCTGATGAGTTTTTTTTTTTTCCCTCCAAAATGAGAAATCCGCCAGTGGAAACACATGCCACACACTCTTAAAATATAAAATGAATTGAAACGGTGGTACTTTGAAACAACGAGTTGTGGGTTGAAGAACATTCTCCTCTATATTTAAGAGACATTGAATGCTGAACGATCAACGATGAACTAAAATAGAAACAGAGCCATTTGGAAATGAACTTCACATTTGTATTTTGTCTTTTGGCACAAGTAAGGAACAATAATTCTCCCTTCAGGGACCGCTAACACTGAAAATAACACATTTATATTTAAGAGGCACTGTGTGAAAAGACACTGTTGTTGTCAACTGCATAGCACTGTAAATCGGGGGTTCAGTCTCCCATCATTTCCTATTGAAATGTTGCAGATATGCCCTATTTACCCAAAGGAAACACTCATGTTCACTTGTGTATGTGCAGCACGATATCAGGGGTGCATCATCACAATATGAGGAGCGATGTTGTGATTGTGGGAGGGAGGGGCAGCTAACCGACCTGGTGGACAGAGTCCAGCAGCTGTTGGGCAGAGCTCACCTGTCTGCTCTGCTCTGCTCTGCAAAGCTACATCAAAACCCAGCAGCTGACAAGCCTCCGTCACAAAACCTGACAACAACTCATCAGACCCAACCTTTGAAGTGATAATCCCATCTGTGAGATGTTTTTTTCCAGTAGGGGGTTGACATCCTTGGTGCTAAGATGATATTGTGCTGTTTTTGTGCTGCAGTGCTGAGACGCCACCTGTCAATCAAAGTGTGGTCCATGGGCTGCGTCTTCTGACTTACCTTTTTGTATTAATGAAGGCTTCAGCTGCAACAGTGATTACTGCTGTTATTGGTAAATACCCACTTCTACTTATTCCCAAGAAAATGCTGTTAGTGCCGCTGGAAAGGATCCATCCCTGTAAAGACCTGCGATACTCAATACCGCCTTTTAAAACAACACTATAAACGCTGTCATGAGTTATAACGTCACTACTTTCAAAGCTGCTTCATAATGCCTCCCACATGTTTAGGGTTCATTGTTGTATAGAGCCTGAAAATATTTAAAAACATTTTTCCCCATTTTTATTTAAGAGAAATTATTCTATTTGCTGAAAAATTTGAAGTTTTTTAAAATTAGTTTTGTTTATTTATGTCGACATAAACACTTCAGCTGTGACCTAAATGCCTACATATAAAAAATGCCTCTTTTTAAACCTGAATCCAAATTTTGACCTGGAGCACAGACAGTGTTCAGAGAGGTGGACAATTTTTCATTTGAATGCTTCCTGTCTCGTCTGCTCAGAGAAAGCTTCTGGTCTCCTGAAATGTCAAGCAGCATTTCTGTAATAAAAATACAAATTAAGAGGGAGAGGCGACAAAAGAACTCGTCGCTCAGCTTCAGATCGTTTATAGTTGAAATCTTTTGTTAAAAAACACTGAAGTTTGTTTTCTGCAAAGTGGAGAGAACAATCCTTTATGTGGGCTGCAGGCAATTTGAATAGGAGACGGCTTTCCTAAACTATTGTTATTTAAATAATGTCTGAATTTTTTGGGCGACATGAACAAATAAAAGCGTAACTGCAACAAACGCTGGCTAAATTATCTGAGAAACTAAAATAAAATGACCATTATGCTGCTCTGAGTTTCTCTTTATAAGAGAAATACTGTCTCCACTCACTTTTCACTTCTTCTAATTTGCCATTTTTTTGAGCGATGTTAAGCCACTGAAACTTCCTGTGGATATTTCACATTAAAAGCCTCCCAGGAAAGGAAAAGATCTTTGCAACGAACAAAAAAAACAAAACAAAAAAAAACTGGAATTCATCCGTGAGTGTAACTGTATTTCTGTTAAAGAGAACTACAGTGGTGAGTATGACATGGCAATATTGTTTGTGATGCTGCTATGGACACGTATGTTATCCTGACTTTATCAAGACAACATGTGAACATGTAAAAGCTGATTTACAAAATCAGGGAAAACAAGGAATAAAGGCCCAGTTATCTCTGCAGCAGGGGTAAATAAGGAATTTAAGTTCAGCTGAATCACCGCTGTGTTATATTAATTAATGACAGACAGCAGCTGAAAATGAGCTCATATGAAAACGTTATGGATTGTGACTTTAAAGCCAGGACGCTGCCCACAAAAGAGGCAGAGAGCCCAGTGGTCTCCTGAGTGTGAGGAGTGATGTTCTTGAAGGTGGAGTTGGCGTGTGAAGTCGACCGCCAAGGACGGAGGGAAATGAGGCCTGGCAGTCATCTGGAGGGAAAGTCTGATACGCTCCTGATTTTAAGATTCCTATTGTTTTATGTTGAGAAAGTAAAAGTTATATTAGACTCAAACTGCAAGAGTGTTTGTTTACTTTTGCAAACCAGACTGCAATAAACCTTAAAAGGGCTTATAGTGATTAAATAAAACCGTGCTGTGTAATACCTAAAAAGGATTTGCTTTGTATGGTCGCATATCGAGTAAATCACAACAGATGTCCAGCTCAGCATAAAGACTGCGCTGAGACCTAATCACTCACCGAAATTAAAAAAAAGTCATCCTGTGCAGGTCGAGCGTCGAGCAACACTGCCAGGTTTGAGGGTTTGTTACCCACTGGGGCTACTCATGCTGAAAATGTGTGCACACATGGCACACTAACAAGCTCTGGGTGGAAGTATCGACCAAATGGCACCAGGCACCAGTCTAGTTTTAGGTTTTTGTTTTACACTCAATCGGAGTCTGTTTAACAGTTATGCATGAATAGTTTTGTCGGCGTGTATCACACAAGACTTTAAAAATAATGTAAAAACAAAACAAAAAAAAAACCCTGCACAGGCTAGATCTAGAGTCAATTAAGCATTTGTTAAAACCTGAACCTGAACAGTGATTGTTCAGTTATCTTTTAGTAACCATAAGTGCTCGCAGCAGGGCCGTCAAGCTTTGGATTTGCGGTAGCCGAGAGAGAAACTCAGCATCTAAAGAGTCCGGAGGGTGGTGAGTTTTTTATTTTTCCAGTTGCGTTTTGAAAAGCAAAAATATGAGGAATGTATTAAACAGAGTGTTTATCTGGCTAAATAACTTACTACCTGCAGCAGCAGTGCTATCACAGTGTCATTTCCATCATTTAATTAGCTCGGACTGCAACAGCCACTGTGTGGGAGCTGCTCTTGGCTGCTGCTACATCAGAGTCTATAGGCCAGCTGTCCTGCTCTGTACTGGGTCTTTACACTGCAGCAGCTCCAGCCAACATAACACAAGGCAGCGTTTCATCTGTCAAACACCTTGGTGAGTCGTCGCCCTGAAAGTCTTAAATAAATAAAATAAATACAAACAAGCGGCTAAACGGATTTATGTTGTAATGACATAAACGTCTTTATAATACCAGGACGAACTATCTCTACGCTGCAATACAAGAACAATGCTTCTTCTTTATTTCTTCTACAAGGATCATTAACTGGTGAAGGGCTGGGACCTGTTAGCGTTAGCCTCAGTCTTGTGGCATGATATAATATATGTAGAATAAAGTGAATATTTAAGATCCTTTTATAGGATTCCTGTTCTAAGACAAATCACGTAGAAACTGTGAGCCAGAGACAGTGTTTTCAACTAATTCATGTAGCTGCTGTTAGCTTAATTATCTACTGAGACTTTCCAGTGCTTTTGAGGCTTATAACTCCAGCTTCTATCCTTTTATGTCGTGTTTTTAATGTGTTACGCTACATTTCTTATTTAATGCTTTTATGCAATATGTAAATCAAATGCTTTTGTGTTGAAATGTGAAATACATTAACAGCCTTACAGAGAGTCTACCAAATATGGTGCTGCACATAGTTTCACATGAGTCATGCCTATGATCAAGAGTGAAAAACACATCTTCAGTCTGCTCTCTTGTTAATCAGCATCTCCTTTCATATGGGAGGTGCACGAACGCATAAAATCTGCACTTTATTGTCATTTACACACAGCAGACTGGGATTCAGCGAGGTTGTGTCTCAGCTCACCATCTTGTCTTTTTTAAAAGCCCTTAGGGTTTTTGTTATCTCACCCGCACATATTATTGATTGCAACCTTTTTCTGTTATTTTATCTCTGTGTGTCTGTTCGTGTGTGTGTGTGTGTGTGTGTGTTTTAATCACTTTGCCTCTGTGTTTCTTCACTGTACAAATGGAATAAATTGAATTGTGGGGGTCAGAGCTTTCATCTGGATTCGCCTCTCAGTCTATTTCACTGAAAGAGCAGGTGGTCCAAATAATCTGTGCGTTCCACATAAAACAGAAAATAGTTCCTGACAGCGGTGCCTCTGGCTTGGTCGGGAGCTTCAACAAACACCACTAACAATGTTCACTGGTCGGTAGGCCTGCGAGGGATCGTCTTTTGACTGCCGCACTAGTGAAAACCTCAGTGTGTTTTACTCCTCTCACTGTGAGGTAAAAAAGAAGTGGCTGCAGCGCCTCGGGTGCTTTATATAAAAACTGTGGATGGATATCAAGCAAACTGCAAGGAAATGTGGAGAAATGGAACCAGAAAGACTAAAATATGAGACGCAAATCTGCAGGTAGACTATACGGTGGAATGTCTGTCATGATTTAGACTACTTACTACCCTGGCAGAGGAAAGTAGAGTGCTCTCTGAGTTGCTACAGGCAATGAAATACAGAAGCTACGAGTAAATTTAATTCGCATAAAACAGCACAGCTATACAAACCATCTGCCATAATGTAGTCCATTTATTCTGCCTTCAGGTAAGCTCCTACCTCTGATTTTAGAGGTCATGAATAGGCACTAAGTGGTATTGGTTAGAGATAATATAATCTACCTTGTGACAAAAGTATTTTTTAGTGGCTGCTTTGTGATATACAGTAAATCAAACTGCTGACAAGTGTCGACTGTGTTATGCATTGCAGCGTGACGTTCTCCTGGTTGAACCTGAAAGCTGCTCTGCAATGCAAAATAAATTAGCATTGGGTCTTTTTGCTTATGCCTTTGTTTTTCATTCGGAAGGATGACGCTGACCCAGGAGCTCAGGTAAACAACACACACTCAGCCACTGTTTACTGTTGTTTGTGTGGTAGAAGACATTGTTGTCTGGGTCTTTCTTTATCAGGAAAATTGAAAAAATAATCATTTTAGTCACATTTTTATAATGTAAAAATGACAAACCCTAATTGCAGCTTTGAACATCGTATTTAGTGGATCACGGACTATATATTTAAATACAAGTCGTCTGAGTGCAGAGATACACAGTAGACTCTTGTAGACACTTGCCAGACCGATGACAATGATGTTCAGGCTGTGAAAACATACATGCTATAACAGTACTGCCTCTACTCTGTCCGGTGTTCGGACATCACTTTGCACGGTGGCTCATGCGGCGCAGGAAGCTGAAAATTTCCATTTGTCGAACAGCATTATTACCTGGACAGGGAAGGTTACAGGCTTCCTTCAGTCTGATCTGCTTGTCTCCGTCGACGGCGAGCTCCAGGCTGCTGCACAGCTCCTCGTCCACCAGGCTGCCGTCGCCGTAGCTGGAGCCGTCTGACACGAGGCAGGACAGGTTTCTGTAGCGCATGCCGTGACCACACACCACATTCTGACAGGACAGGAACACCACAGAAGAAGAAGAAGAGGAAGGAGGAGGATGAGTTACTTCAGTCAGGGAGAGGAGTCACTTGGGGACAGATGAGTGCTGGTTAATTTTAGCTTTGGCTGCTCATGTGGCGGCAGCAGCCACTAATAAAGAGGTTTGTATTTTTACGTCTGAATTACAATAAACAGAGTGGATGATAGATAATGATGTAGTTTTGAAACATACAAAGGTTTACATGTAATTAATGTGTAAAGTGCATATGAACATTAACTGCTGATGCACGTGTCTGCCCGACTATTAAAGATGGTAATGAAGATAAAAGCCACTATCCCTTATTGATTTCCATTATTAAATCAATATCCAAACATCAAGGGCAGGTGTACATAAAGACTTTGAGCTAAATCAGGAGACTAACGTGAGACTAACTAACTTTTCATGGACAGTAAGCTTTCTGAACTGATGGGAGTTTTGAGATCTGATCCTGAAATCTAAGGGAAAGAAACCTGCTCACAGACGCTCATTACTTTTCCTGTCTTTCAAACTATTCTTGGCACAGTTTCCTTCAGTTCATCAACAACAACAAAAGACTCTGCCGTCTCTTTGTTGGACTGCTGAAGAAACCTCAAGAGTTTGTGTTGTAACAAAGGCCAATTTGTCACTGAGTCTTACGTAAGTCATGTTCCCTAATAAACATAGATCAGATAAATGCTTGTGTTGAAATTGAGTTTCACTTTGAATTCGATGAGTTGACTATTTGCTACTTTGAGTCTTTCTAAGACTTTTAAAGTATTTATCCCCGTGATTTTCATGAAAACTTGTCAGCAGTTTTTTTAGCAACGGTCCTTTTTGGTATTTTTGAAAGGTGGTGTGGAACAGGCAGGAGCAGCAAGTTGAACTTCACTGTGCTCAACTACTCGCACCATGTGCAGCATGAAATCACATTACAGTTACAATTATTACCGACTGACCTCTTCATCTAACAACATGGATTTGTTTGGCTGCGCTGCAAACAGACACAAAGAAGCTGCAGATACAAAGTGTCTGCTGTAGCTGTGGTGTTAAAAAAAAAATAAAAAAAAATCACTTGCCGTTACCATGGTAACCACGGAGGTTGCCAGATTAACTTCCAACTTTAAAGACGTGCAGACATTGTGTATTACTAACTCAATAACAAGAGACTGCATTAGTCACTTTATTAGTTGTGTAGCATCTAAAAAAAAACAAACAAAAGAAAATCAGGTCTGACAGTTTGTTTATGTGAATCACGGGTAACAGCTGATCTCCGAGATATCTGTCTCCGCGTCTCTCTCTGCCATTTGTGAGATTGACAGCTGATAGAGTTGAGTGAGGGGAACAGGTGATGTATATGATGTATAAATAATTAAGCTCGCCCTTTCTGCCCATAAAGCCGCAACCGTGCTTTCACGGTTTTCTTTTATGTCATAAAGCAACGCGGCAGATTTCTTTAACAATCTGACCTGGTGGCACAAAACGCACAATGAAGTATGGAAGCTGCCAAATTCCTTGGCGAAGGTATTCGTTTGCAGTAATGTATCAGCATTAAATGTGCATTAGATTGATTTTTACCATCCATCTCTCAAAATAAGTGTATGAGCATGGATTTTATCAGGTTGTTCATCAATACTAAAGACTCCATTATTTTTTGCCAGATGCTGAGATTTCTTTTTTTCCAAAATCCACTTTCTGGCTCAAACTCTTATGTGTATTGATCTCGGCTGAGCCAGGCACCTGTCAAAGTTGCATTTCTTGTAGGCTGACAGAGGTCGATACAGTTATTAATATTTAATGTCCCTGGATTATGGTATAATGTTATGATTTATTGACCCACCTCCACCCGACACTCGGACCAGGGGCTGTACTGCCAGCGGTAGCAGGGTCGGACGGGGCAGGGCTTCCACTGCTCCATCTGGGAGGGGCAGGGCCGGCCGTCGCCCTGAGACGCCTGGACCACCGACCGCCGCCGCCACATCTTACCTGGAGAAAACAAAAGGTGACATCATCAGTGTATTATCATTCATTTTCCCTTTTTTATTTTTCATATCAGGAAGATTTTTTCATGCTGTACTGACACAGTCTGTGAAGGACTTGAGGACTTGTATTGCCATGGTTACACTGCGTTCATTGTTTGCAGATGACATTATTCTATAAAAACAATTATTGTTTAAATAAATGAAATTAAGTACCACTCAAGCCAGAAAAACAACAACAGTGTCCTCTGTGACCAGCTCTTGAGTCCTGTGCTTGAGCAGCGTGACATAAAATAAATGTCCAGTGATTTTTTTTTTTTCTTTCCTGCTCCTGTAGAGGTTTAGATTCCTGTCTAAAATAAAACGATTACACACAGAAAAGTAAAGTGGCTGTGTTTTCTCTTCATAATAAACTAAATGCAAACAGATGGGACACATGTGGTGACCATTGCGGTGTGACACACAGCAGTAATCCATTCCCTCTGTAAACAACTCATTTTAGATGCATGTTTGTTTTGAACGCTTTAAATTAATCTCACTGTGCGCAAGAGCACTTCACTTAACAGAGCAGGAGTTTCTAAATGGCCTGAAATACGGCACTTTCTCTCTGTGCCGTCTTTGATTGGTTCTTGGTCCACTTGACTGAAATGGCTTTTTTTTTTTTTTTACTCCACATCAATCAACAAACTGACTTTTAATAAATCCAATACATCACAGCAGCTAACACCTCAGAGACCGTTTGTTTTAAGTGCAGAATCGATGCTATGAATTAACTTGAAAAAAAAAAAAGAAAAGAAAAGCATACGCACACGCACGCATCTCAAAATCCAACCTTCCTGTCTACCTCTTTTAAATAGCCCACTCTCAAATCTCACAACCCTTTATTTGTTGCATATCCCACTTTGATTTCCACCTTGCCAGACCAGCAATCTGCTCACCTCAGAGCAACCTACGACATCTTTCAACACGTAAAACACTAACCAGCCTTCCCACACAAAAACTGTACGATCTCATATCCTGTTCCAACGAGAGAACATCTCCCACACACACACACACACACACACATACACACACACACACACATACACACACACACACATCAAATGAGATCCCTTCTTGCTCCTTTAGCCGTTCTTGAACTTTTATCTTATTCCTTGTGATTTAGCAGCTCTCGCTGTGGCGCCTCTTCTTCAAAGTCCTCCCCACAGCCCCGAGGAGCAGGAAGATGTAATGGGACAGAATCAGCTGATTGAGCTGCTGGAGTTGCAGCCAGGTAAACAGGAGAGCACATTTTTTCGCCGGCCGTTTGACGACACTTTAAAGCAATCACTCTCTCTTATTCAAACACCCCCTCTCTTTTGTTTAGGTGAATTTTTTCTGGCCAAGAGCCTCCGGTGGGAGCAGGAAGTGTGTAACTTCTTTAGTTACCCAAGTACGTTTTCTTCATCAACACACACACATCGCTTTGGTGTGAAGTTACACACATGCAGAGAAAACTATTAATGCAAAAATACTGGGATGGTTTTTTCAAACCGGTCCCTCTACGCCTTCATGTTTTCACTCGGATCCTCCTGCCTTACATTTACACATGCATGAATGGATTATGACACAAAGGGCCCCTGGGTGCAGACATGTAACAGGCCCCGCACCCCTCCTACATGGGAGCACACCCTCACACCAAAAGAGATGCAAAAGGGACACAAAATGATTGTGAGCCGAGTCATTTGTAGCAATTTTGTGTCTCATTCAATGACATTTTTCAAGGTGAACTCTCCAGTTCTGATGTTATTTCAAACACTGCACCTGGGCTTCAGTATCTAGTTCACACTGGAGATGAAGGGAGGTTGTCTGACTCCTGCCAAAGCTTCCTGCCGCAGCAGATTCACACAGACACTGATCTGTACAGGCATTTTACTAAATACTACAGCACATTGTACAAAACAGTAGAGAAAACCATCAAAGAAATGAATGCAGAAAAGATGCAGGTTCTGTTACAGCTGTTCTGCTGCTCTGATTCAAATTCCATTAGTAATTTGCCTGTATTTTAATTAAATGTTACTGCGGCCTCTGTACGCAGCTGCAATATGAAGGAAAAATGTAGAAAAACTAATACTATGTTGGATTTGATTCACAAAGAACCAATATTAAATTACTCTGATACGGATCAGGAGCAACAGAAATAATCAGGACATCCCAACTTTTCTGAGTTCTGTGATTGTCCAACAAAAACATCTAACTTCATACAGACGCTCTGGCTTTAGGGCCCCAGGCCTCTGCCCTTCAGGCCAGTTCAATAATCCAACTGCAGTCTTCTGGTACTGACCACTGAGCATCATAAAGTCGAATTTCAGTCAACTTAGAAGTCAGACGGGGAAACAAGTTTATTTCAGCTGGAAGGTTTTTTTTTTTTGGCTTCCTTTTTAATTGAACTATATGTGTATATATGTTTAGAGATTGAGCCGGGAATCGAACTCACGACCTCTCTGTCACCAAACCAAGTGATCAGGGGCTTTCTGAGCTACAGCAGCTCTCACTCAAATAACAATCAGCTGACAACATCATCATAATGATAATAAAGCTCAAGTCTGCCTCCTCACATTAACTATGTAATTATCGTCCACTTGATGACATGCACACCTGGGTGGACGTGACCCCTGCAGTTGGACACACCCACCGACGCCGGCTTGTTCTTGTGTGTTTAATGGAGGTGAGGTGATACCAGTCAAATGATGCATGTGTCTGACATGTTGTAAACCTTTCAACCTCTAAATATAAAGTTTCTCCTCATTTTTCTCCCTTTAGTTTAAGGTTGTTAAATGAATCTTACTCCACACTGTGACAGAGTCAGTTCTGTACCAGCTTGGTCCAACTCTTTCAGAGTGAGTAAAATATTCCCCCCAAAACTTGGTATCATATTTGGTATCTTCAGTAACTTTATGACCTCCAGTGGAATTTGCAGTTTCTGTGGGTGTGAGCTGTGTTTGGTTGCACAGCGTGAGTTTGTATTGACTCAACCAACAGCAGTGAGCGAGGTTTAAGCTTTAAGCTGGATCACAGGACCTTGTTGTGTGTTACACTTTCAAGATTTAAGACTAGATGTTGTTTGACCATTTGCCATCAACACTGCGAAGTGATCAGGTTCAAACTATTTCGGCATCATCTTTTATTTCATATCTGAAAAAAACATTTATAGTCAAGCTTTAACGTCAAGGTGTTTTATTATTTGGATTCTAAGTGCTTGTTTTTGCTTTGCCTTACTTCGCTGGCTCTGGCTTTTACTGCGATTTAATCTCATTATTGTACATTAATAAAGTGCAGTATAACTACATTTCAGTTTAGTCATCATTTCAATATGCTGCTTGAGTGATGATGAAAAGATGAACTGGTGTCATGTTAGAAAAAGGCCACAGATTTGTCACCAGTGAGTCGGTTCCTTGATCACACTGGAAGTCGCTCAAGATAAAAACGCTAAATGTCAACATCTATTGCACAATTTTAGCTGATTATAGTGTTGAGCAACATCTTTGATACGACGAGTCTTACCCTCCAGTCCGCAGGTCTGTGAACACTCTGACCAGGCCGACCAGTCTGACAGCTGACAGTTGACGGGACACTCGACCACGCAGGAGATGATCATCTGCCACTTCTTCTCCAGATTCAGCTGCAGCACATTGAGGGTAATTCATGACACATGATGGAGTCGTCCACAACACAGATGAACAGTCATGGCAGCAATCGATCTATGACTGCCAGACAGCAGCTTGACCTCTCAGAACTACAATTCCCAGAAGTCTTTGTTCTGGCAGGGGGGAAGTCTATGCTGAGCAGCATCTGGCCGGCAGAGTTGGAATATCGAAGCTGCTGCGAAAGCCATCCTGACACTGTGTTTTTGTGAATGAGCCAGATGATGAAGGTGGCCAAGGGTTAAATAGCTGTGGGGACGGCTCTGCCACAGGCCGCCGGCTACAATTACAGGGAGCTGGGACACATTATGAATGAATAAAACACTCAGCCTACAGCAACGACAACAATCTCTGCATGGGAATACGTCTGAATATTTCATGTTGCTGTGGGCCTAGTAGTACAAGAAGGGTACAATAATATATTGCAATGACTGATGTGATTAAGTCATTAAGAAAAATGAGTGTGTCAAACAAAGAAAGTAAAAACGAAACTGCCCAAGAAACAAAAAGGGAAAAATACCAAACGAGACACTTGAGGAATTTTCTGCAGGTCTCACCTCCTCGCAGAATTTGATATCCACCGATTTGCCGTCGCTGCGAACACAGTCCAGCATCCGGGTCTTGATGCCGCTCCCACACACGGCGTTAGGACTGAGCTGACATGTGCTCCAGTCTGAGGAGAAACAAAACAAAGCCACATTTACATTTCTGGCAGATAATGTTCACGCAATTGCCAAAATAAAGTTAACTCAGAGAGCTTGATACAACACTACAGGGATCTGTTAGTGCCAGGCTGAAATACCAACAACACAGGCAATCCCCCGCGACACAGTACGGGCAATGTTGTTTATAAAGGATTACTACATAATGATGCAACCACAGTCTTGTAGCGCTGGCCACTGAGCATCATTAAGTCGATGCATTTTCTGAATTTGATTCCTTCATGTCACAAGCAGCCCGGGGACTGTCAACAAAAGTCGCACAGAGGTTTTGTCGTTTCTTGGTTGTGCTGGAGGTTTTCTGAGCTATGTCAGCTCTCACCCGGAGAATAATGAACAACTCCACATAATGATAGGTTGAATAAATATGCAGTGAACAATTAGCATCTATTTTCCATCACTTATTTCATCTACATCTACTTTCTGCAAATAATCACTCAAAATAAATGTCACAGAAAAAGAAACCCAGCGACACTGTCATCATTGGAATTTTTGCTCTGAACTTCATCAGTGCAACTCTAGGAAAAGCTCATTTTCCATCAAAGCATACATCAGAGCTGTTTTGAAGTCTTTCGGGGGCAAGTCCCAATCAGATCTCAAGTCATTTGAGACATGTCTAAAGTCAAGTCTTAAGTAAATTGCGAGTCAGAATGCAAATCTTTCAGGTCTGAGAACTGACAACTAAAATGGCACGCTGTTTGAACATTCCTCTACAGCGAGACTGCGTTCTTTTTAAATGTGTCGGCGTGACGAGCGTGTCGCTGTTCCTGGCTTTCCTCACGCTGTCTTATTTATTTATTCTACCAGAACAACTTGAATGTTTTTGCTTTTAAATCCAGATGTGTCTCCGTGCAGCCAAATCCAAGATAAGATCATATTTGTGACAAAAAACCTGCATTAACTCTTTTCTTTTTTTGGCCACCTGGAGGTGTGGGATATTAACATTTTAGATTGAGGAACTAATGTTCTGATTTGTTGTTATTGTACGGGTTTGAGAGGATAACACAAAAGGGTCATTGTGCTGAGAAAGGCGTGATTGACACCTGAACGTACGTCCGATTAAGCCAACTTTGTGATGAGTCAGCAACTGTTGTTCTATTGTTCGCCTGACAGGATATAAAGCAAGGTCTTTAGAGAACAGCCGTGTTGGGTCTTCTCTGCCTGCTGCAAGACTTAAAGAGATCTGATTCATCACGACGCATCTGTAATTATTCAGAGGACTAACAACTCTCGACATTCAAGAGGAATTTCTATCGCAGAGACAGAAAAAATCAATATGGGTTAATGTGTTAACAGTCATTTGTTTGCACATCCAAGAGAAACAGAGCAACATCAGCATTCATTTGAAGTGGTGTTTGTGTCCATCTGATGAATGGTAAGTCCAACATTTACTGTTTTTGGTCTCGACCAACTCCTGAGGGAAATACATGGCTTCATTAACTGCTGAATGCTCCATGTGTTAACCAGTTAACTGTGTCAGTCTCCTCGCCTTGATGCTGGGATGGTTTTGTACAGCTACACGCTCCATCTGAAAACGACCGAAACAATAAAGTTTCAGGCCGGAAAAACTGAAATTATGTGTGATCATCTCTACAATCGACCACATAGTTATTTGATCCATTGTTAATATGGAAATATTGATTACAGTATGACTCAACCAAGTCCTGACTCTCTTATTCTGGCTAACGTTACATACACCTGGAATGGACAAAATAAAATGGGTGTATAAACACGCTCATGATTTTTATTATTAATACTTTATAGAGAAATGTACATGTGCACGAATGCAGACATTAAAAATCAATATGAACTACAAGAATGGTTGAAAACCTTTTCATCCTCTAGCAGTCGAGTAGCTGTTAAATCCCAGAGTTCACTCATCACAAATTCTCCAGCTACATTTTATAGCCTCACATGATAAATGTTACCCGCCAGCTTGAACAGCTCATAACTTTACCTCACATAGCAAATATTTATTGGTGTTCAGCAGGTTGCTGCGATTCATATTACCGTCCTGGGTGCAAGCAAAGCTGGAAGGCGGGCGAGAGGGAGTCGTGGTATCGACGGGAGCAGGGAGGAAAACGAGAGGAATGTATTCAAGTTACAAGAAAATAGCATTTCACTGGTGTTCTGCTTCTGTAGCTGGATGTATTCTCAGTCGAAGCGGGGATGGAGCGCGGGGACAAAACACGAGGAGAGGCTGTTCACGAGTCTTCAAATGCTTGTTGAATGAATAAACCCCAGACAATATGAAAGCTGTGGTGTCTTAGCTTTTAAAGGGTGAACACACAGAAACACACTGTCGCACCATGTTGTCCTGTGTTACTCTAACAGTTGCTTTATATGCTGATATACAACAGCTCGTCCCAATTCAGGGGCTGCATCCTTCGGAGGCTGTATTTGAAGACCGATTGCGTCACAGCGGCGTGACAAGGCTGTCCTGTTTCGCAGGCTCCTTCAAATGCAGCCTTTTTCTTTTTTTTTTTCCTATGGACCCACCTATCCCAAGATTCATTGCTGGCAGGTAATGAAAGCAAACAACACCGACTGAGAGCCAGAGGATTACACTTTTAAATAAAAAAAGTATTGCGTTTCAGCTCAGTTCAACAGCTAACGGTACAACTGTTAAAACCAAGGGCCTTAAAACTTCAAGTTATGTGTTGTCAAGGTTGCCAGGCAACAGGAGCGGATACAGCAGGTGACACAAAGCGAAAATCCTCTGTAGGCTAGACTGTCTCATTTCGGTTTATGAAGTCTATGACGGGCCACACCTCAACGGGCCGCGTCCTCCGAAGGATACGGCTCCAGAATTGGGACACAGCTGATGTACAACGACCAGATTTCTAATATAAAATATCAAGATTTTATCAGACTGATAAAAGATTGATAAGATTGTATGAGGTGCATTAACACAGTGCAACTCCATCAAATTAATTACCAGCTATTTTGCTGACATAAACAATCTCCTCATTCCTTCACTGCAATGTATCTGGATAGATGTTTTAGGACCGACGTGTCATGCATACAAATCAACTACTTTAGGCATCCAGATGACTCAGCAGAACGGCGAGCACGCCCTGTACTTGCCGTACTGTAAGTTTGACTTCAGCTCATTACCTTGCATGACACACCTCCTCCCTCTGCCTCCCTTTCCTTCTGCCACAGCCTTCAAATAATCACCCTGTGTGTTTCTTTGTTGTCTCTTTGGAGTCAGACTCTTAAACAGCTTCTGGCTGGCAAAGATCACTGTCAATAACAGATGATTACTTTGTCAGCAAAGAGGTCATTGGAGGTTTAAAACTGCTCACTTAAATCCAATAACTGTGGCTGCCATCAGCATCCTTTTATGCTGGCATCATTAGTGAGTTGTGTGGGCAGGCGGTCAGATTTAAGTTTTCTCTTCTGACAAAGTAACCAGGATTTAAAAGCAACATCACCACAAGTTTTCCTCAATAAATCTCACCACACAATTTCAGAGCTGTGAGAGGCTGAACCTCGGCACACCTCCACCTTAAAAAATATATTTCTATGAAGTAAAGAGACGACATTTTATTCCAGACTTAGGGTGCAAATGCCTTTAAAACCACAGTGTGCCATGCTGTTGTTAAAAAAACCCTCTGTGACAACAGGGAGGCGGAGGTATCATCATGAAGTGTGCCCTCCGCTGACAAAGATGAGTGGCTGTTTTTAGCTGCAGAGAGCTCGTTTGCAAACTCAACTCAGGGAATTGTGTCTCCTTCTGCCGAGGAGCTTTGTGGCACTCTGGGGACCGAAAATAGGGAGATTGCAACAAGAAAAAGCGACAGTAAGAGACTCAGAGAAAAGGCGGCAAGAAAAGGAGAGAAACACTGAAGGAAGGAGCAGCTTGGATGGTCTCGGCATCAGCAATGAAAAAAAAATGAAAGAAGAAAAGTGTGTTTTACCCAATAATAATCTCTGCTTCTATATTATGTACACACACCTTGGGAAGCCTGTATGCCACTGTGAACCCAGCAGTAGGGATTATATGTCACATCTCTTGGTGTAACAACACAACAAGGAAGACGGGAGGGTTGGTGAAAATATGAAGCAGCAGCAACGAAGGCAACACAATAAAAATTTCAACAAGTGAAATATAGGAACGCTGCCAATCTCTCTTTTTGTTTATTTTTTATTGAAATAGTTTGTAACAGTTTCCAGAATGAAATGTGAAAGAGTAACCTCTGTGACACGCGGTATGACGCGGTGATATCCTGCAGATTAGAGAGCAGAGATTGGGAAGCATGCAAGCTCAAACCTGTCTGATTAAAGTAAATCAAAATGTATTTTCTATTCTCAACAGTCACCACAGAGGTGCCACCGAGGAAGGCACTTAACCCACAGCAGCCAACAGTCAAATGTTTTACCTGTACTTCGCTTCCAGACTTTAAAGGTCCCATATTTTACACTTTCCTGTCTCTTATTTGAAGTGTTGATCCATAAGTTTTAAGAACCATCTCAGTGTAGTTTCACATCTCCTCTCTCAGGCTTCTCTCTGGAGCTCTAGTAACAACAGGTCTGTGAGCCAATCAGAAGAGAGGAGGCTCTGAGACCGATTGGCTAACAGTTTTCTGAGTGATCGAAAACACTTCAGAGAAACCAAATCCTGCAAGGTTGGATGGTGGGTTCAGGTGGGCGGGGCTTGGGCCGTGGCTGAGAGTGGCGACTGCTTTGTTGTGACATCACAAAGTTACAGAAGTCCTGAATACAGGCTGTGTGCATTTCTCTGTGGACTGAGGCTTTGATACTTTTACAGTATTAATATAGAACCCAGACCTGATCTATAATCAGAAAAGACATGGAAATCTACCTTTATACAATAGGGGATCTTTAATGGCTGTAACTGCAGGAATCTGCAGAAAAAAACTTACAAACCGACAAACAAAAAAATGATCCTGTGGTCAGAGAGGAGCTTTGCAAAGAGCAGCTGTGAGCAACACTCGAAAGAGCTCCATTAACATTACATCATCATAACACAGCACACAGTCTGATAAAACCTTGCAAGGTTTGCAATTATCTTACTTGAAGAAAAAAAAGTGATGAGGCTGTTGAAAACAGAAAAACAGATAAGTCAGTTATTGATTCTTTGTCTCGCTGTTAAAACAGATGAGGAGTCTCATTCTGAAGTGGAGACTGTGTTCACAGTGATGTTCTCCCAATTCAATAGCTGTTTTAATATCGGTGTTGTGGTTAAAGTTGAGAAAACTTCAACCCGAAACACCCACGGCAGCAAAAACCTGCTCCGTCCAAAACACAAAGCACCAACAGTGTTGTCATAATGAGGAGACACACAATGTTTTCACGACCTTACAGACAGAAGGAAACTCAGCTTAGTCACTCCAACCCGCTGCAAAGATATGAAGATTTTCTATTCTTCGACATGTACTGTACCTGTGATGTTGTAGAAGTAGTTGAAACAGTTGAGGTTCAGGCTGCACGGCTCCGGATCAGTCGTGTCCGGACACTGCCTCCCTACACTGGGCGACCGGAGGGTGAGCGCCGTCCGCAGTCGATTGTTGGTTCTGGTACAGGGCTGAAACAAAGACCGACCGTCAGAAGCTGCAGCCTGTAGAGTGTGTACATGATTAGGCAGTCCTCATTGCAGAGTGATAAGAAATGAATACAAACATATCCCTGGACTGGAACAAAGCCACAGAGCTCCTGTCACACTGATGCTCATATTTATTGAACATTAAAGCTGATAACTGTGAATTTGCCTGCTTCTGGATTGTTTCCCAGCTTCTAGAGCCACAATTCATTTAAGATTTCTTGTCAAGACATTCTCCCTCAGTTTGCGCAGGCCTGGTTCCTAGGGATTCCCAGTATGTGGAATTTGATTTTTTTTTCCAGCGGGAGATGACAGGACGGCTAAAATGGATATTCTGGAGGAATGGTAAACCACCAGATTCTACACAGTCATTGCTTGCTCAGAAGAGAGTTGGGGGAGAAAATGACAGCCTTTGAATAACTCCATCGCTGGCACGATGAATAAAACATGCACGAGGCCCCGCTGGTGCCGCTGCAGACTCCATGTCGAGATTGGAATTGTGGGAAGTCTTTGTGTCAAGCACTTTGGGAGAGAATGGGGTGTGATTAACAATGGCCAATGTGATGCTGCGAGAACAGCAGGTGAAACCGGAGCAGTTAAAATGGCTTTTTTACCACGAATCAGAGGTGTCAGGGATGGAGGAGCTGAACAGGACGTTCTGACACCTTTCATGGTTGTTTCTTTTTGGTTTTTTTTTAGGTGAGAATGAAGATTACGTACATGCTGCAGCCTGTTGGTGTGTGCTCTCCAATCAGGTGCTGGTGTCTCTTTACAAATCTCGATTTTAATATTTAACACAGAGTTGGAAAAAGGATCATTGCATATCTTATAAATCAATATTTAATATTTTTCTGAAATGTAACTAATTATACTCACAGTTTTTAGTTTTTTGCCAAATGATAATCACAAACAGCCAGGTTTATGTTCGCCACTACATCACTTCTGTGTGTGTGTGTGTGTGTGTGTGTGTGTGTGTGTGTGTGTGTGTGTGTGTGTGTGTAAATGTAAATTTGGAAACCTGCTCAGGAGTTCCGAGTCTTTATCATAAATCACCTTCCTTCCCTGCTGAACACACAGTGAGCACACTATAATATAGGTGATGTATCAGCCATTTTCTTCCTGTTTCCCAGTTCATATATCTCTTTTATTCTTCCTTGGTGGACAAGAAATAACCTGTTGACAAAGATTCAGTCACTGCTCACAATAATACAGTGCAGCTACGCTTTGAATTCCTCGAGCCTCAGAGGAAATATTTCTGACAAGAAAAAGATATCATGATAAATCTCAGTGGGCTTCACAAAAAGTCTGACGCTCCCGTATCTCCTCTGTGTCAGACAGCTGAGCTGCTGCTGTCTGATCTGGGTTCAGCTCTCACCAGGCTGCAGCGGCTCCAGGGCCCCCAGTCGTTGAGAACGCAGTCCTCGGGGCAGGGCAGACGGCTCTCCCTGGCCCCCAGGGGCATCTCCTCCGGGTCACATAGGTAATCCTCCACGGGCTCCGACGGGCCGTCTATGGTGTTCAGCATGCACCTGTGGGATCGGCCGACAGACACACTGAAGCTGACCTTATTTTAGCAAAGCTGATGTTGCGCTCCAGCGAACAAAAGAGACGTTGGCGTTGGCTGGTACATGAGATACTTAACAACCTGCAGCGGAGTGTGTTCCTCAGTTACGAAGGTCAATATTAAGGAAAAATGGAGTGTGAGTGTAAACGCAGACAGTCTGAGCAGGGACAAGCTGAATTACAGACCTGACATGAAGTTGCACCCCACTTTTAACTTTCATTTTATGTTTTAACCAATTGTTAAAATACCACAGTAAATACACATATACAGAAAAAAAATCCTGGCTTTCCTCGACCACCACTGCCACCACATTTCTTTTTTTAAATTTCACCTTGAAATTGCAGCTTTCTAACATCATTTTCTTCATTTGATGTTTTTCAAAAAACATGAAACTTTACACAGGGTTGTTAGTTTGGATGTGTCACATTTCTTTAAGCCTTGACTGCCTCCAACTGTTGGAAATAAAGCCAATTATTTTTTTCTTATTAACTAATTAATTACACAGAATGTAAAACAGCAAAAAAGTCATTTTCAATCATATAAAAATAAATAATATTAAAAAAAAAAAGGATTAAAAACAAGCAAATTGTCACATTTGAAAAGCTCGTTCGGCCATTTTTGAATCCATTTTCTGTTGACTGACTAATCAACTAATTACTTCAGTGCTACATTTAATGGCTATGAATATGCTAATATACATTATGTAAATAATGTAAAGATGGAGAGAAACAGAAGGACAGAAAAACACTTTGACAGATACCTGACTTTTCTGGTCTGGACGCCTTCGCCGCAGTTCTCCTTTAAGTCCACGTTGCTGACTTTCCACACACTCCACGGCTCAGCCACCCACACATACTGATTGCAGTCGCTCTGACACGGCACCACCTCATACACCTGAGGACAGAATAATCTTATTCATGTGCTCGACACTTTCACATGGATTTCATGGCACATTTTCTTACGGCAGGTTAAACCTTGATTGTTGGGACTTTGTGATGATCACGATCATGAATAGAAAAAGAAAAAAGTGGCCTCTACAAATCGTATTTTCATAGATATTTTTGCCTTAGCCAAGCAAGTTTGTCAGTTAAGTTTTGCCTAATACGTAGTGATTCAGCTCTCTGAGGTTTAACTCAGCCAACGAGATTATTTCTGCCCCCGGAGCAGCTCTGCCTCTGAGAAATGTCTGTAGAAATAAAACTCCCATCTGCCGTAGTACCTTGTTTACTCATAGTGAGGATATTGTGACTGTGTACATCTATCTGTCAGTGACCTACTGACATCAGTGACACTTAACATCTGTGACTACATTACAAATAGCTGAGAATAGCAGCTCTTACCTGGGCCTGTAGCAGTGAGTCACATCCAGTGAGCATTGAAGTGGATTAAAAGGAGACAGATGGATTAATGAGCACATGCCAACTGTTCATATAGTGCAAAACCTATGATTAATGCAACATTCAAGAGCACATAATCAGAAAAGCCTTTGGCATAAATACCTGTGTGAACTGTGTGAGTGCGCACACACACACACACACACACACACCCACACCCACCCACACACACACAAACACACACACACATCGGCACCACCTCAATCTGAATCTGCTGATACTCACAGGCCTGGAAAGCATTTCATTTATTGCAAATCATGGAAACCTGAAGGAGTCAACTGGCTCACGTTGGGGCATTAATATGGTGGATGGGATCCATTTATAGCACCCAGTGCTTTTTTACTGTTGCTGCTCAGCAAAAAATGAGTGCAGCAATAATGAGGAGAAGGTAAAGCAAAGCTCTGCAGACTCAGGCTAATTATTCATTAATAATTAATTTCTTCCTCTCGCTCTCTCACTCCTCTGCCTGTGTTGGATATGTATAATATGCATCACACTTGTAATAAGTTTAAATATATTGTTGCACAGTTCATAAATATTCAAGCAACAATGGTGAGCTGAACACCAGGCTTCAGTACCGAGCTCCAGAGAGCCTCAGCTTCAGTGTCTGCTTCACCTGGTTGATGTGGTCCAGTTTGGGACACGGCCGGCCGCCGTTGTACGGCTTCTCTCTGAGCCACTTGGAGCGAACTTTGACCCCGCTGCCGCAGGACTTGCTGCAGCGCGACCAGTTGGACCATTCGCTAAGTTTACAGTCTGAAGGACAGGGGATGATGCACGCCTCCTCAATATAACCTGAAAGGAAGAGAAGAAAAAAGAAAGGTTGTTTGACAGAAAATCAAACACACGTTTACGGTGGTGATTCTGGTGAGCTGAAGGGGATGATGATTCGTAATGGCGCACTAGGTGCATACACCTGTCAGAAGAAACACTGAAAGAGAAAATGATGACACTTTTCAGGCTATGAATATTTAGAAAGCGTATTATAGTCTGTTATTAATTATTTCAGAAGGAAAGAGCATCCACCAGAAAATTGATTCATGAGAAATTACCTTTGAAATAAAACCTTTGTTCTCTCTACATCCTACAAGCAGCCTCGCAGGTTAAGAACGACTGCTTTGGAGAAAAACCTCGGCTGGTTCTTAGAAGAATCTTGTTTTCTTTATCCTTTATGAAACTACATTTGTCCTAATTCCCAAAGCTCAGTTTGTCTTTTCAATCTAACAAGAGACCATTAAAGTTCAAGAACTCTTTAAATGCTACGTGGGGAAAATACCCAGCTGTAAGAGCAAACTATTAACCGATACTTCACAAACTAATCTAACATGCTCTTATTGATTTTCAGCCCAGTGGAATGAAAACAGGGCCAACATTCAAAGGCACAATTTTAAAAAAAATCTAGCAAAGCATTGGTTAAGTCTGGCAACAAGCTTCATTGTTTGAATCTATTTTCCTCGACTCACGGGGTCGTGGCACAGTCAACAGGGGAGGGTTTAACCATCTCACTCTGCTTGTTCCGCTTTGGTTTTTTTGTTTTCCATCTCTGGACTGTGATTTCCTTTGTTTTTGTCGGTACACACAGGTCAAATGTGTTGAAAGAGATTATTGTTCTGAACCTGAACCACACATATTTCCACTTACTCAGAGAAAGCAAGAGAGAGAGAGAGAAGGAGAGAGAGATCAGAACTTGATGCTTCTTTTGGGTTTGTAACAGCCTGTAAATCAGTTAATCCTTTGATTAAGAAAATCGACGAGGTGAACGGAGGCTGCCCAACCACTTCCTCTTTCTGATGTGGGCTCTTTTACACCGCTGCTTCGCTTTATGCTGAGAGACATGAGGTGCTAAACTGACTGACGGCTTCGCTATAAACACACTTCCCACGATTTCAGAGGAATCCCACATCGGCCAGTCAGACCGTACAGATCAATTTTGTCAGAGTATTTTTTCTCACTTTATTTAACCTGGGAAAAGTCTCGCTGAGCACATATGTTCCTTGTGTAGCGCCATCATGCTTCACACTGACACACTGAGCTGCCAGGTACAACAACACATATCCAGTGCCGGCCGCCGGGAGCTCTGCTGGAGCAAATGGAGGATAACTAGAGGGGAGAGTGGCAGTCATTCATATTCTTTGTGCAGAATTTCTGAGTTTGTCCTATAACTGATTTGAACAAGTGACGGCTCACTCTGGGAGCCGTGTCTCAGCCCAGGTTCAGACCCAAAATAGCACTGCAATGAAATAAAAAGCAGCTGTGTTGGTGTGGCTGTTGTTGCAAATGGTACTATAGAGAATATAACAATAACTTTAATAATGACACAGTGACACAGGATCTAACAGTCCTCTGCTGTGGTCTAACTCAAAGTGGTTATCAAAGCAAAAAGGGGAATACTTTATTTTCACTATGATTCCATCCATAAGAAACACAATGACGGAATGTATGACCTTTCTTTGTCAAAGGTTTCAAACACTTTCTGTAATAAAACATCTAAAAGGTCCGTGGTCTACTTTGTGTCAGTTCAGGGGTCCTTGAAAAAGTTTCAGAATCACATGTGAATGTTTGTTTCTTGTAATGTGAGTGTTTCTCTCAGCCAGTCTCAGCCCTCAGTTTGGTAGGAGGGTGACGACTTTAGCTCCATAATAAGGAAGTGAGTGTGAAGCCCAGGAGAAAAAGCTGGGGTTTGTTTTACCGAAGCTGGAACGGTTTATATAAAAGGTAAATTCAAACTGACAGCCGGATGTTTGCCATTCTTCTCCAGCCGCACACATTATTACAAGAGGCTTTTGTGATGTAGTGCGAGTGTCGGTGTGAAGGCAGCCTGAGCATTGCTTCGGACGGTGGTTGTTTGTCACAGAGGACAATGTATGCATGAGACAAACCCTGACCAGAACCAAACAAACCTGCGTTTTCTCAACACACACTCACACTCCTATGTGTCCTTTTAATTTTTCTTTTCTGTTGCCGTCTTTCATCTGCACACGACTGCTCTCAGAGGTGGTAGCGTCTTGCCTCAAAGCCAGTTTAGCAAGATGGATGGCTGGAGCTTAAACCTGGGGTTTCAACTCGGCTCAGCCGAAGAGGACAGTTGAAGGGTGATCTCGTCGCCCACTCCACCGGCCCAGAGCTGAGGGGTAAGATGCATTGCAAGCTAATATGATTAGAAAATAAAAAGTCTACTTAATCCAGTCAAGACTAGAGTCCTGGCAGCACTTTGGCACCAACTAAATACACAGTGACAGCCATACAGCTGCGCACACACACACACACACACACACACACACACACAGACACGCACTTCTGCCTGACCTCCTTACACTCTGGTGAATGCTCAACATCGTTACATCAACACCTTGCTGAGTTCAGCATAAGCTCTGAAATAGGCTTCTTCACCTTTGACCTCCCGCTCTAAGGCCCCACAGTTCACTGAGTGCAACTGCTGCAGCACCTCAGCCCTCAGTTATAATATAAACCTGTTCGGTGTCTTGCCGAGCTCTCGGGGAGGTTTTTTTGGGCTGTGTCCAGGTGGGAGATCACCGCTGCTGCCATTAGAAGTCAAGTTGCAACCTGGCACAAGCTCCCGCTGTACCTCCCAAAAGCAGTTGTCACTGCTGTCGGAAGCTTCCCTGGCTGCTGCCCCACTTCACCTGAAATCTTAACAATTTTACTGCCCAGCTGATTCTTCAACCTCCCAGCGACAAATGGGATCTACGCTGAGATGCCTCTAAAAAACAAACGAGCTCTACAGTAACAACCATGATCGATCAATATTTTTTTAATATTATTATAATTTTGCAAGTGTTATATTAAAGTAATTAGCCATAAGGAACATTGTTCAAACAGATCACATGTTAATTTAATCTGTACGTCACCACTATCGATATCGTGGTAACAACACTGCTTTTGTGCATTCTTCCTTTTTCTCTTGGCACATGCAGGAACCCACTGGCATCTCTAGCACATTGGCACATTGTTTAAACTTGAAGGGGATAAATTGATGTAGAAATAGAAGACAACCACTTATTGTGGCAAATACAAAAAAGTGCAAAAGATTGATCACTTGCATAGGGATCCATTTGCTGAATTCCCTGAAGCTCCATAACTTCTTGGAATCCTTGGCATTCCTCCCAGAAACTTTCTGAACTCAGTCACATTTTTCAATTTTTTGTAGCGGTTGTTTTGACAAGTAAGATTGTAAAAATGTGGCACGGCAGGTCTAAGAACTGGATGAGCCCCAGCACGAGACAGGTCAGGTTATTACACTAATAATGCTGCATTTTCTTTTATTTAAGCCACGTTTTTGTTTTGGCTTCACAACCAGTGAAATCACTGGTATGTGTGATGCTACAGAGAGCAAAATGTGCAGAACTTCTATAACTTTATGATGTCACAACAAAGCAATCACCACTGTCAGTCATGCCCCAAGCCCCGCCCACCTGGACCGGCCCTCCAACCTTGCAGGATTTGGTTTCTCCGAGTGTTTTATCTGAAATCTGCTATATGTTTATTTAATCACTCAGAAAACAGCCAGCCAATCAGAAGAGAGGCTCACAGCCTCCTCTCCTCCTGCCCATGAGGTTAGTCCACTTCTGGACTGATGCTTATACCCACAGCAGTTAATGATGTCCTTTTTTCAAATATTTCTTTACTCTCTTTTTGCACTTCTAAGGACCCACTTGGATGCTGGGCCCCTGGGTGCCCACCCAGGACACCCTGATTGTACATCCAGCCAGAATTTGGAATGAAAATTTCATCCACTCGACGGGTGGCTGGCCCGAGAAGCTTTATGTGAACCTTTTGGCTCCAGGAATCCAACATTACTGCCTGATTTCTGACCTGTTACTCCCCCTGCACAATCATCTCCATGGCAATGAGGCAGCATAATCCCTGGGAACTCTGAAAATAACTGTGTCCGGCTCTGTGCTCAGGCTGCAGCACAGAGGAAGAAGAAGAAAGAGTCACCAAAGGACAGAGGGACCCTTTCATGTACATGACTAACCTTATCAGACACCGACCTTAGTCCTCAGACCTTGACAGCACACTGCTAACATGTGGTAACACTCAAAGCAGAACAAACTCTTTTATATACGGCGCAGGCTCTCAGTGTCTTCCTCTTGTTATTACAAACATCCTGCACCGACACATGTGTCGACTGCAGTTCTGCTCAGGTTCAAAGGATCCTCATTCACATCTTTGGCTGTAAGTTTTACCCTTTATGGCTTCACACAGTGACCCCCTTCCCTCCTCCTTCTCCACATCCCGCTGAGACGAGACCAACGCCCCCTGAGCCGTCCTGTGGTATTAAGTCATGGAAAAGGTCAAAGCGTAATGGGTCGCTTACAGGCATTAATACAAGAAATATATGAGTAATGTCAAATATATAGGACAGAGCAGGGGACTCCCAGGGGACGTCCCTCACTTCACTATTGCCTTTGGCACGATGCCATGTTTGTTGCGTAGTAACATTTTGTTAAGCTGTTACACACTGTAGTATCATCGAGTAGTTCCATTCATTTGTTGAGTCGTTATGCTTTTCTCTCTTTTTGTTGAGTAGTTACATTTTTATTGCTCAGCAGTCTCTGCATTGTGCATTTCCCTCGTGTGGAACAATAAAGATCTGAAATCGGTCGGAACAATATGCAGAAAAAAAATTATCCCTTAATTATTATTAAAATTAATATTATTATTAATTATTATATCATTATTTTGATTGCAATATGAGTCACACTTTAGTGGGAATGGTCATTTTTGCTGGGATCTGAACCAAACAAGCTTGTTCTCTCACATCTGGAGAATATGTTTTGGGGCAGAGCGTCTCTCTTTATCCAAAACATTGCAGCTCCTGTGATTTGGATAATGCTCGTGGCCATATTGCAGTTTCAATAATATTGTGATTAATTGTCCAGCTCTAAATTAAACTGTTTCATTGGCAATTACATTTTGTTGAGTTTGGTTCACTGTTATAAACATATGTGCAGAGACATCTGCATTATACCCCATTCTTTATTTTGAAAAACAATGGAAACTGTGTCACTCACATTATGTTGGCAGACCAACACTCTTTCAGTCACTGTGTTGAACTGTGAGTCTGCTGATTGGTTTTGAGTCTTGACCCGTCTCTGTCTCAGTTGTGATTTGCCTTGATTATATTCAACATGACAACACACTAACTAGATCTTCTTCTGGCTGACTGCAATTACTGCTGGGAACTAATAGAATCAGGAATTTGTCACTGGGATGTTTGCGCTGCTGATTATTACATCAGTCAAGCTTAACTTTGACCATTTAGATTCTTAAAAGTTAAAAGAAAAACACATGATATACAAATTTCCAAAATCATTTCAAATGTTTTAATCTCTGAAGTTCATGATCCTCAAATTGTTTCTCGCCGCATGTGTGTGTTAACTCCGAATGGCACTCAAGAACATTCAGCGTTATCTTCCCTCATAGTATTCACTCCCTCTCACGGAGGAGTAGGGCAATCTGAAAAGTGAGCACCACGACAAAGCTTGGATCAGTGTGCACTTTTAATGAGAATCCCCCTTTTTTTCTGTTGATGTCTGTGGAATATGGAGATAACAGTGGCACAGTTCGCCTGATCGACATCGTTGCCGAGAGCATCGTGTCAGCAGCGGAGTCGCGGAAGGACTCTGTCTCCTCCTCGATCAAGATTAAAAGTGATGATGGCTGCGATGGAGAGAATGGAACGGAAAATGAAGGAGGGAGTGGCAGAGAGAACGGGGGGAAGAGTGACTGAATGGTGGGGAAAAAAAAGAGCTTTAATATCTTTTGAGATTCACATGTTCTAACGCCAACCCCTCATGAATGTGTTTTTGTTTTCCTGTGCACCTCAAGGAACATTTCTTTCTTTTTTTTTTTTTCTAAGCTCAATGATGCTTGAAGATGAATGCATGGGTGCACACACACACATACACTCAAACATTCACATAGGTGTAAAAATACACAGAAGCTGACAAACACACACACACACACACACAAGCGCGCACAACCCCGTCTTTACGATGTGCTCTTGTCACACCCACACTCAGATTAACTGACGCATATCTGAATCTGTGACTCACACAAGGAGACTAAAACCATGTTTATATATGCACAACACTGATGTATTCATTTGAACATCTCCCGCATTCTATTTCACAGCAATTTCACAACGAGTTTCTGAGCCCAGATTCTTTGCTTGAAGTATTTTGGATCTAAGATAAGACCTTACAACGAGGAGACAAATGATTCTGACAGGAATGTGCCGGAAAAAGGCCTCCTTATGTGAAACTAGGTATTCAGAATGAGTCGCTAGCCTCCGTGGGAGGGGCTCTCATATGTGCACAAACAAAATCTTTCACTTCAGATGAATATTTAACAGAACAAAAAGTTATTCTTGCATCTGCAGCTTTCCCGGTGTGCTACAGTATATTTCTCACCTGAAACTGAGAAGTCAAGGCTGGCGAGCGAAAAGATCTGATTCGCTACATAATGGGCTGCACCCAAGACTAGAGATCTATTTCTGTGCTTTAGTGCAGATTCCTGCTTCCATCATCAGGGGTTACAGGCCAATTTAAAAATGTCACTTTATTTGTCCTGGTCAATTCGACAACAACATCGCTTTCCACACACAGCGTCTCTGACGCTGGATAATTCATGTAACACCCTGTTAACAGTTTTCACTGGGACTGTTTCTTCATTAAAAAGTAAATCCAATGAAAAAAATAATCACAGCAACTTTTTTTAATGATTCTGTCTTTCAGTCTCTCTTTATCCACTGCACACATTCGAAAATCAACCTAAGTGGGGTGGGGGAGAGGAGGGTGTCAGAGGGCGTGGCTCAGCTCAGAGATGCATCATCAGGAGAGGCAAACTCGGCAAATGCTCGGGGCCCCCCAAGGAGAAAAGGGGGCCCCTGATGGCCACAAATATTGGCACATTTTGCAATGATAGCCATGATAACCCCCTTAAACCTCCCATAAAGACACTGAGTGAGCTGCTGTTGCCCCGAAACCCCTTAAATATGATGATGTGTTCCGTAGCTAGCATCTGCCCATTGCCTGCATGTGAGGCGTTAAGGGGACATCTGTAAATTGTAGCATCTGCCAATAGTCTGCACGGGGGCTGGCCACTGGCTCTGCTAAGCTAAGCTAGCTCAGTGGCGCCTCCGGTTACTGAAATCACCATTTTGACGCCCCGAATCACCGAATTGTATCACAGCGGTTTGATCAATACGTTACTATATACAGTATTTCATTATATATCATTATATATCATGTCATTATGCCTAACTCAAGGAGGTTGTTAAATTTACATCACATACCATTTGCAGCACTGATGAATGTTTTTATATGTATTTATTTTTGTGTTTAATCCTCCAAAGCTGTGAGCCCCACAAACAAAAATCCATTTACCCCCATGGTACTGCAGCGGCAGCTCAGAGGGGGATATGTCAAAACTTGAACAAATAAAAATAACCTCTGCGGTCACAAGCACACAAACATGCACATGCGCTCACCGTGACTGTTGCAGCGTGAGGTCTCCACCAGCCTGTTGTCCTGGTCGTAACACACCATGGCCTGATAGCGGTAGCCCTGCCCGCACTCCTTGATGTCTCCCTGGACCTTCATTCCCAGGATGCTCTCCACTCTGCCTCCCTCAGGAAGGATGCAGTCCGACCAGTTCCCCACCGGCTGGGCGTTGTACTTGTCGCAGGGACAGTACTGGGTCTCACTCAGAGGATACATTTGCGTGTTCTTGCACTTGTCTTTCTTCTTGCTCCTCCCTGAGGAGCGGAGAGGAAGAGGAAGAGGAAGAGATCAGCCAAACTGCCTTCGGAGAGGTGACTCCGCTCATTTGCTGGTGTTGGTGGATTTCTGTCTCGCTGAGTTTCACCCCGACGTGCTGAGGCTACTTTCTTGGCCTTGTTTGGTACAGTCTACTCACTGACAGCAACAGAAACTCCTGAGGACAGATTACGCTCGCAAAATGGTTTCAAGCGGAGTGATCTTTCACTGAAACAACCTGACATTTCTTATCCTCAGACATGTCAAACATCTTCGACTGATGCAAAGAAACTTTCTTTTCTTGTTGCAGTCTATCATTAGGAGCTGTTTCACATACAAATAAAGAGATATGGCATATTTACCTGTGGGTTCCAGTCTCTGCATCAAGCTGGCCTTCTTGTTTTTTTGCATTAAAATAATTCCAGCTGAGGTCTGATTTATCCTGCATTAGAATCACGCAACAAGCAGCATACTGCTGTGCAGAATGCTATAATGTGTCTGTAAAGGTCGGAGTATATGTTTTGCTCCACTGACTTTGTGTTGTCTTGGTATTGTTTTGGATTGAGCTAAGATTACTGAGATTAATAAGAGGATATAGACGTATTTTTCACTAGTAAAAAGATCTGAGGGACTGGCCAACATCTAACATATTGTTGATAACCTCTGCCAAATGTAGCTGCAGGATTTTGGATAAAACTACAAAATCCATGCTCTCTCCTTTCTGATTTAAACCTTGGAACCTCTTCAAAGAGTCTTAATATGCCTTACATGACCTCTCTGCTCTCGTATACGTCGGTGAATGGGTCAAAAGATATTCAACATTCACATCAGGAGAAAATAAAAGCCATTCAAACCCACTTTCTCAATGTTTAAAGTTGACTTTTCAACCCCCCACAAACCTCTGGCGGAGGTGCATTAATGCATTGCACCACTTTTGTCATTTTTGCTTTTACGGCTGTGATGCACAGGACAGCTCTCCGGGGACACACTGATGGATAACAAAGGCTGAGGAGTCATTTCATATTTGTTGCTTTAATCCCACTGGAGCATTTAGCTGGCAAGAACTATGTGAACAGATTTATGACCTTGTGTTTCACTTTACTGCTCTTGGAGTTTTGCCCACCAACATTTCCCCCCCCCCCCCCCCCAAACTGCCTTGTGCCTCATCAACACTTAAACTACAGTGCAGATAAGCTTGTCTGAAAAGAGTTCACATCAACAGCCCATTGTGTGCGCTGTGCCTCTCTCTGTTCTCACCTATCAATGCCCTCTTTCTGGTGCGGACCCCCACGCAGTCAGCTGTGCAGGACGAGAACTTGGACCAGTTGGTCAGCTGGCAGTCATCCTGGCAGGGGAGCTGACAGCGCTGAGTGATGGCAGGCATGGCCTTGGCGAATTTCAGACACTCGCTGATGTCGGCCTGCGTCCCGTCCAGCTGGCGACAGGACACAGCTGGAAGAATTAGAGGAAGTCGTGTCAGAAAGGCTCCATTAGATGGTGTAGGCCATTACATAGTTTAATGCTGATTATTTCAGCAGACTGATTGATAGTCAGAGCAGGTACTGAAAAGTGCAAGACAAAGATATATGCTAATAAAGCAGGAAATGAGTCAACTGCAATGGCGGAAAATACATTTACTCAAGGTCTGGACGTTCTGTGAATACAGCTTTGTGCTACTTGTACTCTACATCATCTATTGTACGTGTAATAACAAGATGATGATGATTAAAATGTCAGTCGTTCTGCCTATATGTACTTTTCCTTTCAACAGTTTCACAGTTTATTACCTTTTGTTGTTAAAAATAGTTTGACATTTTGAGAAATTAGCTTTCAAATAGAGAATTTGAGATACAGAGGAGATCGAGACCACTCTCAAATCTATCTGATAAATACGGTATAAAGTTAAAGATGCCGCTCTCTAAAAGCGTATATTGCAAGATATGATATCAGGCTAGCTGTTTCCCCATGTTTCCAGTCATTATGCTAAGCTAAACTAAGCTAAGCTAACTACTGGCTATAGTTTAATTCTATATTTAATGGAAGAAATGAGAATCAGTCTTCTCATTTAACTCTCCGTAAGTATTCCTCCTTTAATTCATTAGTTTAGTATTTCTCTGCTGTAACTGAGTATTTTTCCATCATGTTGCTCGTCTTACTGGAGGTGTCTTACTGGACACTCCAGTAATTTAGTATCGCATTTCCATAAATCAAATGATAGCACTTGAGTCCTTTTTCTCAGAGCTGCTGAGAGAGATGAAGCTGCTCCAGAGCTTCACAAGACACTTTACGTCTGTTTCCTCTGGCTCTCACTGGCTCCCTGTGACTAATACAATTACTTTGATATGTAAAACTGGTGTAGTGCCCCTTTATGTAGACCCCAACACTTCTTCCCCCACTGGTGAGCTACATAACATCAAAAATAGATTTAAAGAGGGGGAACTAAAGAGTTAATGAAAAATAGATCAGAACTGTGCTCTTCACATTAGATCTCATGAGGGGCTAAATAACAATTATGAGCATGGCAGACACAAATGCATTTGTTTTGAAGCCCACGAGTCAGTTCGTCTTGGCTTGCATCATCCCATTCTTTGTTCTATCAATTAGGGGTATTACTTGTGTTGCTGCAGTATTTCATTTTCCTGTGATGCAGACGTTCTGCAGGGCTGTACCTTCATAGAAAAATCAATCCCTAAGCACATTTCTCTGCTGAACCCCCACGGGCGCTGCTATTGGTTTGGAAAGCCTTCGTCTGATGGTGTGTGAGGTCAGGTCTTATCTTATGCGAGAGTGTGTGTGTGTGTGCGAGAGAGAGAGAGAGAGAGAGAGAGAGAGAGAGAGAGAGAGAGAGAGAATAGCACATGCTCCCAGTTGTTCTGTGTGTTTAATTCTGCCACTACAGTGTTTTTTGTTTTTTTCCTCTAAGGAAAGCCTCTGTCCAGGTAAGCAACACCGCCAGAAAACACAGAGTAGGGAAGACAGTGTGTCTCATTTGGTTTCAGTCAATGACAAAATGATTTCTGCCATTTACAAGTGTCAGAGGTGTGAAAACAAGTGCAGGAGGGCCAGGACGTCAGGTGTCACATGGTATTAAATCAGGGAAAAGCTGCATGGAATCTGTAATAGCGCGGTGAGCAGAGACAGAGATCCCGCTGCATTGACGTGAAGAAGTCCCCTTTGTCTGTCCAGCCACGCCAGCTCCGTCAATCCGGCTCTGTCATTACCTACGCTGCCGCCATTCGCGCTTTTCATTAATAGACTGATTATTCCATTAATTAATGTAAGTTAGCGAAGAAGAAACTGAAATATGATCACTAATAATGGCCTTCTATAGGAGCTCGAATGTAATGAAATTGATCATTCTGCGTGACCCTCTGAAATTGGATTTTTCTGAAAGCCTCCCAGGACGACATGGTACATCCGTCCTCTAATAATATAATAAAATAATAAAAAAAAATTTAAATAGGCACGAGGAAATATGCTTTTAAAGAGGGAGAGCCACAGCTCCTTTAAAGCACTTGTCATTTATGTGTTGAGCCCATATGAACAAGAGGTTGAGCTGTCGTAAGCTACTGGCAAGGTGCAGCATCTTCTCCAAAATTTCAACATTCGATTAAAATTGCATGACAAGAGCCTGAGGTGGGAAAAAAACCAGCGGTGAGACAACCCGAACTGTCAAACGAGTCTCAAGAGGCGCCGTGTTGAATTGTGAACACATTTCCTTCCACACTTAGGAGGATTACAAAAAATAAAAATAAAATAAAAAATAACCAGAATAAAAAACTCTTGTTGATGTTTTTAGGGGTGTCAGCTCCAGTTTATGTTGTTTCTTGTAAGTTGGAGGATTTGATTTGTGCTCTAAGTAAACTGGCTTTAATTTGGCCTTTTCTCTAAACCCTGGCACATCCAATCTGCCGCCTCGGGGGCCGCACTCCAGATGCACCGGTGCTGAGGGATTGGTTCACGGAAAAGACACAGAGGGGAAACGGGAGATGAAGAGATTGGTTTTCTTCACCTCTTGTCTGAAGTCCTTGTCCACAGGTCTCCTGAGCGCTGGGATTGTCCTGTCGGAGAAACCACGGGACCAGCTGGCACTTCCTCCATTTGTGGGTTTTCCACCTGGAATAGAGCAGGACAGGACACAGCATTCTCCTTTTTTTTTTGTCAGTCAGAGAAAAGTCAACTTGAAGATTTCACCCAGTGTTCTTCACATTTATTCAGATATTACGTCAGTTTTATACTTGACGTTACTCAGTAACCTCCACATACAGTCATGACATTCAAAAGTGGCGTGACACCCATTACACCCAGACACATTCAAAGCTTCATCCTATCACACCGTCTCCTCCTCCTCCTGATGACTGCTCTGCACCTGCCTTAAATCCCAGGAGATGGGAGAACACAAACACATAAACTATGAGCCTTAAGGTCTTCTAAATTTCTCAGCCCACTTACTCTAATTTGCCAAAATCTGGAAAAACCTTCATCTGACATCAGTACTATGGGATTGCTCCAGTGTGTTTACCTGAAACCCGGACAGACGCTGGGCACCTCGCAGTCCCTCTCCTCCTCCAGCACCTCTGGACACTCCTGTCCTCCGTTGGATGGCAGCTGGATGATAAGACGCTTCCTTGATTGCTTTCTCTTCACAGCGTTGCCAGCTGCACAGACACAGACACAATTCTTGAATTAAAATAAGAAATGTCTGCATGGGAAAGTGATGAGAAAAATGTCAAAATGATAAGCTAGGCGGCTCCTTTAATAGTCCTTGAAGAATGGGCTTGGAGACCACTATTGCCAGATCTAATTGACAGCTATCGTAGACAACATGCACGTCTGATTACCTACGATATCAAGCCAGCAACGATGATGTAGAAAAATCCCATTAGAGCTTGGAATTGACTCAGATTAAATTTATGGTATTTACATGTGTGGAGATGCCCTCGAGTAGTTCATTAAGATGAAACGAGCCTCTGGGTGCTCCTGAACCCAGCGTTAAACCTTTTGTATGTGGGTGGTGTGTAATTCTCTGCACAAGGTGAAGATATCAACAGCATCACATTAAAATGCGCAACCGCTGCTGCAGCACGCTCCGAGTGAAGAGATTTATGCCGGAGTGTCACACGAAGAGGTCATAAAAATATGGACAATAATGATTTTCAGTCGTAAATCAATATAATGTATTTGCCACTGCTCAACAGCTCGGGCGAGATGGCCGCCTGACAAAGGTGACCTCCTCTGAACATTGTTTTCCTTTCACAGCACGAAAACTACAACAACGTCACGCACTCGCTGACACTTGTAGCCATGGGCGAGTCGGCTCGCCGGGCGCACTAAAGGAGGTCAGCCCAAAGATTGTCTTACATGCCAACCTGTCAAACTAATTACGTGTAACAAGATGTGAGTGCACGTGTCTGTGTGGTAGCTAATGTGTCTGGCTCTGATCCGCCTCTGTAGTTTTTCTACATCATTAAATTAAACTTGCTTCTGTGTATATGTCTAGACTGGGATAGAGTCAGGGCAGTACATGTTTATTTAATGATTATTGTTTATTATCATATTATAGTTCCTAAGACTATGAAACCAAATACTGTAAGCATTAGAAACCCTTGCCATAAACACTATTTTCTAAATTAAGTAATAAAAAAACTACCAAAGACAGGCTGAAAACTACATCAAAAATGATCTAATTAAAAAAGGAAATAAAAAAGTTTATTTAGAGGTTAATAACCATGACAGTTTCCCAGCCATCTGTATGAGGCTGTATAACTTCACATCAGCTGGGTCATCTCATCTTTTCGTTTTCCACCGTACCTGCGTCACAAGTAACGGGACAGGGTGTCCAGTCGCTGAATGGGGTCACGATACAATCCTTCTTGCAGGGCAGCTGACACGGTCGCACAGTGCTGGGGCGAGGGCCGTCTGGACACCTAGGCAACAAAAAACACACTCAGCAGGGCTTTAGAGTCGCACTGTGGGGGCTCACGCTGGGCTACACATTCACCAATACACAACAGTGAAAGGTCTGAGGCCAAAAAATTGAATTATCTTGATACACGGCAGCAGATTCTTTCTCAGTGGTTTTTTCAGGGAGCCACTCAACAGCCATAAAAACACCGTTATTACGACTGAATCCAACCCATGGTAAAAAACCCATCTTAGGTAAACATCAGACTCACATCACTGGCTGTTTAACAAGAAGCACCAGTTACACCTCGCCTGCTTTTTGCCCTCAGGATTGTAGAAACCCAAATTTCTGCTCATTTTCAAGCTGTAGCGGGGAGAGCCTGAAAATTCACTCTCAAATGAAATCCAAAAATGTGTCTTATGGGCATGTTTCTTTTGAGCCCTCACAGGAAGTAGCAATTTAACAAGAGAAGAAAAAAAAAAGAAAAGAAAAGCTTTGCACACAACTGCAAGATGAACATGTAGAAGGATACACCATGAGTGTTTCACCTCCTCACACTGAGCCCATAAAAATATACGGTCAAGGGCATTTTATTAACACTCATAATATCAATACGTTTCGCTCAGTGCTTCATCAGGATCTTGAAGAGGCAAATTTTCATAGTAAAAGATCATTGAATATACAGTATATTTTTATGGGCTGCAGCCACCACAGTGTAAAAGCTGGAGCCGTCTTCCCAAACCGAAGTGAAGTTGAACTGAGAATCTTGTCGCTTGCATTTTTCACATCTGTTGGTCCAGCGTTTTACTGTCATCAAGTCAGCTGGTAAACATGTTTGATGGGTTTTACATTATGTTGCTGTGATTTCTAGTTACTGAAGGTCAATGTGTTTTTTCTTTTTTTTTCTCAACAAGCAAAGATGTCTGTAAAACATCACGCAGCCCCCTGTGACTTTCACATACAGAGGACTCCACTGACATTTGAAATGTTGACTGCTAGAGGTATAAACCATGAGCTTTCATAAATATCTCTGTAGAGGTTTGGCACACCAGCCGTCTGGGTTTTGCTTTAATACAGAATGTAATTATTCGAGGCACAATCTAGGGCAATAAAAACTGAGGGAAACCTTCGTAATCACATCCGGTTTATGTCTGATGAATGCCATCTGGCTGACAGCAGATATAAAGGAGAGGTGGTCATATCCCCCGACAGAGCACAGCGGGCATTACGGGAGATGTTTAGCAGGTCTATATGAGGATGCTTTACATTAATTACTCTGCTGAGGACACAGAGCTACTGGAAGGCTAAAGCCAGCAGGACAGAAACTCCCTTGTTTTAACTGCAAGCTGCTGTCAGTAAGTGATAATCCTTTCGATGGCACAGAATACAGGGTCAAGCCGAGTTTTTTTCGAACTATGGTTATGGTTAATCTCCAGTCATTTAAGCACCTAAGGTCCCCCCTGTGCATACGACTGGACCAAGATAAATAGGTCGAGATAGACCTGCTGGAAGACATCTTGTAATGTGATCTGTGCAACACTGCGTCCCCGGGCTCTCAGCCGGATGTTGCCGCTCTGTTTCCTCATGTATGGCTGACACGACGATCATCTGGGTCAGGTTTAATGTTGCTAAGAATGAGCGCTCTCCTCTGGGCCTTCCATACTCGTTAGCGTGGTGTTATCGGGGGGAAGCGATAGGGAGCCTCACAGGCCAAATGTAATAATGTAACAGTGACACAAGGAGAGATTTATTTTTAATACCAATAGACAGAGCTAAATCCCTCTCGAGCGGAACAAATCCTCTGGTGTCTTCAGACGAGTGAATGGTCCTCAGGAAAAAAGAAAAGAAAAAAAAGAAACAGCAAGGGGAAGATACATTTAGATTTCCTGTTTCCAGCTGATGCTCACATCCGTGAAGAAAGTGAATGAACAGGTGTCCCACTCAAGGACACTTCAACAAGGCTGTTGAAAATCCAACCTGCGAACTCAGACTGGAGTGTCTGCTGACAAGGATTTTTATCAATTTGTATAGAAACGTATTTTAACTCTAGAGTCTGTTGAGATCAGAAACCACTTTATCAAGGGAAACCTGGTGTGAAGATGGAAATAAAGAGAGCAAAAGAAATCTACAAGATCTAAATACAATCAAAGTTTCTACAGATAAGAGAGAAAAGCAGTTTATAATATGAGTAGTCCAATAAGCAGGAGGCCAATATCAAAGCTGCAGGTTCAAGAAGCAAATTTATTGAAGAAAAAATAAACGCAGCTTTTTCGTTTTGTGTCATAAGTTCTTTTTTTTTTTACCATTTCAGTTCAAAATAATAAAACAGTTATTTCAGCCTCAAACTATTTTCCTGTGAGTTCAACAAAGAGGTTATTATCAGGATACTGAGTGAGTTTTATTGGGTGGTAAAAGTTTTTTTTCTGGTATAAAATATCTTCAGACTTCTCTGTTTTGTTGGAGTTTTCAGTTTTTTTTGAAAATACAGCGGGACTCCTGTAAACTCTATACAAATGTTACATCTCCTATTTATTGGTTCTTGACTCGGACATGCAAATATCTCTCTGTGTCATGGGGGATCAGAGCACTGGTGCTATAAGATGCTGTGACTCCAAGAGCTGTTTGACAAAGAGGGGATTAAACCTTTGACCTTGATTTACTCCCTGTGCTGCTCAAAAATGGCAACTGTCTAAGGATGAGCTACAATCTAACACTCCGGTGAGATCTTGAAAAGGACATGCGCAAATAAATGTAGATTCCCATTTAGTGCACACAACACTGCAGTTTAAAAATACAGCTTGACTTTTGCCTTTGAAGCAGGAAGAACTCGCTCTGAATACCAAAACTAAACCTTAGGGGACTGTGAAGTGCAGATTGCCAGTGTTTTAGATTTCACCTTCTCAGTGTGCTTCTTCCCCCAGTTGCTACACTACACAAACACTAAGCTAATGTTCTGGCGAGTTGGGTCCTCACCAGAGAAACAACCGCATTGATTGTTGGTTTCAAACGCCTCACACAACCTCTGTTTACGATTTTTTTGCTGACAAGGAAAAAAAAAAAAAGTTTCTCCCGGTTTCGATTGAATTATTACTGTTGTCTCCCAGAGGTGAGGGTGGAGACGGGGTGGAGGGCTGGGCATGCAAAGTGAGTGACTGCAACTTGGGACGCCACTGTTCACATCTTGTCTCCTACCAGCAGTCAACATTGATTTTTTTTTTTTTTTTGCCCAGGCATGACTACGATCTCTTACTGAACCATAACATTTTAGTTTCTTCATCTAATGAGCCTTCGACTGCTGCTGCTGCTGCTGCCGCTCCCCCCTCTCTCTCTGTCTGTGTGGGTTTCCTCTGGGTGCTACAATTCTCTCTCACAGCTCTAAAACATGCAGGTGTTGTGAGCTGGAAAATTAGAATTATCCATAGGTGTGAATATGAAGAGAAATATGACGTGTTTGTTGTCTATGTCTATGTTTAAGCCTGGCTGCAGACTGGTGAGCTGCATGCTCAGACTGGACAAAGACCTTTTCACTATCCTTTAAGTGTAATTGTTCTTGTTGTGCGATTTTGTACAGTTGTGGTTACAGCCTCTCTCTATAAATAAAGCATCCATCTATCTATCCATCTATCTATCTATCTATCTATCTATCTATCGATCTATCTATGGAATAAAAAAACAAAAGGCTGTGGTTGTGTTGCATCAGTTTGAGAACAGCAGCCTTATCTCAGTGGGCTCTGCAGTGTCTGAGCTGCTGTATCATTCACCTGTTGGGCAGACAGTTGTCATGAGTTTATCTTACAAATACCAATTATTGACACAAAACTGAACTTTGAAGGAAATTGTGAAGCTGTCTGCAAGAAGGAAGTTTGTTGTGTCTGAGGAAACTGTTGTATTTATATATTTGACCTTATTCTGCTGTGCCTCTGTCGAATCAACTTTACGTTTCTCTCTGGCGTCATGGTTTGGAAACCTATCTTTACAGAACGGGGATTCTCTGAATCAAATTGTTAAATGGGCCAGTAAGCTGATTGGCGAGTCACAGCTTAACCTCGCGTCCCTGTACAGCAGCAGCGGAGAGCTGGCTCGTTTCCTCTGAACGGTGAATTTCAGCTTCTTCCTCCTGGAGGAAGGTTTATCGTCCCAAAGTGCAGAAGAAAACAGTATAAAGAGAGCTTTGTTCCAGCAGCCATCACTCATATGAATACGTTTTATTCATCTATGAGTTTATCTGACAGGGACAATACATGTTAATGAACATCAGAACAAAATACAGGATGTAAACCTGCCGGTTTGTTGCTAAAAATGTTCGTGATGTTGTCTGTGCTGTGTGTTAAATGTGAATGTGTAAGACTGATGACTCCTTTTTACTGCAAAACAAAGTTACCTACGAGTACAGACAAAGTAACCTGATCTGACCTGAGAGAAAAAACCCACTTCACAGTGAAGAAATCTCTTAAGCTCCACTGATTCTGCTCAAATTTTTTACAGCCTCACTTCTGGAGAACCTAAATCAGATCAATTAGGGCAAAAAAACAACTGGGTGGACGGTCACTTCCCCTCAGTATCCATGTCTGACTCCTACAGAGACAGATAGGGTGAACAGGGACAGGTGCTTTTCTCTTCACTTACTGTAACAATCTCATGTAGTGCAGCATTCACTCCTACTTTTGATCTCTGCTCTCCCCTTTGTGACCGACCTGTATGTTTTAAGTGTTTTAAACACAGGGCGAGGAGTTGACTCATAGCAGGTTTCCCTCTGCGGATGGAGGCTCCCTTTTTAGTCTAATTATATTGTAGCCCCGCTAATGATGGGTATTATCCAAATTTCGATGATTAAAATCCAATTAAATTCCAGTTTTCAGGGAGAGAAAGAGGCCATGTTTGTTGGCAGAAACACAATACCAGCCAGAGTACTTCCAGCACAATGCTTGGCTGGAAGACTCTGTCCGTGGGGGTGTGAAAGCTAGCTGTAATACTGTATTGTCGTTCATGCATTTTTTATTATGTATACATTTTTGTTGTTCC